TGCATTGTCCCAAAATCGGGGTGCATCACCCGGAATCGGGGCACACGGTCCCAGAATCGGGGTGCATCTCCCCAGGGATTGGGGTGCATTACTCCAAGGGTGCACTATCCCAGAACCGGGGTGCACTGTCCCAGGGATTGGGGTGCATCACTCCTGAGAGCTGCATCACCCGGAATGGGGGTACCTTGTCCCGGAATTGGGGTGCACTGTCCCAGGGATTGGGGTGCACTGTCGCAGGGATTGGGGTGCATCACTCCTGGGAGCTGCATCACCCGGAATGGGGGTACCTTGTCCCGGAATTGGGGTGCACTGTCCCAGGGATCGGGGTACAATCACTCCGGGGGTGCTGTGTCCCAGGGATTGGGGTGCACTGTCCCAGAATCGGGGTGCAGAACCGGGGTGCAGACCCCAGAAGCGGGGTGCAGACCCCAGAACCGGGGTGCACCTGTGCCACACCCTGTGTCCCCCTCTGCCACACCCATGTGCCACACCCCATGCCCTTGTGCCAATCCCGTGTGCCCTGTGCCACACCGGTGTCTCTGTGCCACACTCTGAGTGCTCCTGTGCCACATCTCATGTCCCTGTGCCACCCCCTGTGTCCCTGTGCCACGCCCGCTGACGGACGGCCCCAGGCGCGCATTCCCCGCGGGGCTGCCCCGGGCTCGGCCCCCGCAGCTGCCGCCCGGCCGGGGCACGGCCGCTCCGCGGGGTCACGGCCCGGCAGCTGCGCGGCCCCGAGCCGGCCCGGGGCTGATTTTATCCCTCGGCAGCTATTCCCGGCTCTGACCCGGGTGAAGGGCGGGCCAGGGGGTGCCCGAGCCGCCTCCCTGCCCTCGGCGCGTCCCTGGAGGTGCCACATGAAGGGACGGTGATGCCACCCTGGGGGTGGCCCACAGCCCTGCTCTGCTGTCCCGTGGGCATTTTGGGGTCCCTGTTTTGGTCCCCACCGTGCACCCCCCTCGACAGCAGCCCCGGCCCTCTGCATCCCCAAGGGCTCGTTTTGGGGAGGGGGAGCGGGGGCTGCCCTCGCCCCTCCCGCTGTATTTTTAGTCCTTTCCTTATAAGGTTCCCACGAATTTTGGGAGCTGAGAGAGGAATGAAGTCATCGCTGAGGTCACCCCGCCTCTCCCCCCCTCCCTCACCCCACAGGGAGCTTTTTGTGCGGCCTCCATTGAAAATCCCCTGCCCGGGCTGGGAGGAAACAAAACCCTTCCCTGGCTGGCGGGGGGCCAGGCTGCGGGGGGCTCCCAAAGCTCCAGCCCAGCAACAATCGGCAGCTGTACCCCCAGGACCCCCCTCTGCACACTCCCGTGGTCCCCGGTGTGAGCAGGGTTGGAGTGCAGGGAGCTTGAACTGCTCTTTCCAGCCCCCCCAAAATCAGCGTGGTCCCCAAAATCTGCCTGGGGGTGGCACAGCCCCTGGAATGCCCGGCTTGGCTCTGATGGAGTTTGGGGCTGGGGGAGCTGCAGCCCCAGCCAGGGTGGCCGTGGGGTGACCCAGGCACCTGTGTCCCCCCCAGGTCACATTTGGAACCCCCAGGGTCACGTTTGGTCCCCCCCAGGATCACATTTAATTCTCCCAGGGTCATGTTTGGTCCTCCCAGGGTAATTTTTGGTCCCCCCAGGGTCGTGTTTGGTCCCCCCAGGGTCATGTTTGGTCCCCCCAGGTCACGTTTGGTCCCCCCAGGGTCGTGTTTGGTCCTGCTGTGGTCACACAGTGCTGAGGGACAGCCCAGGTCCCACTGGGAAAACTCCTGATCCCACTGAGGACACACTTCATCCCCTGAGGGACATCCTTCATCCCACTGGGAACAGGCTGGGTGACACCAGGGACACACTCTGTCCTGCTGGGGACACACTCTGTCCTGTTGGAGACACATTTGGTCCCACCAATGACACCCCTGGTCCTGCTGGGACGCACTCAATCCCTTTGGGGACACTCTATCCCATCAGTGACACCTTTCATTTTGTTGGGACACACTGAGTCCCTTTGGGGACATTCTCAGTCCTGTTGGGGACACATTTGGTCCCACCAGTGACACCCTTGCTCCTGCTGGGACACTCTTGGTCCTGTTGTGGACACCCTCTGTCATATTGGGGACACTCTCAGTCCTTTTGGGGACACTCAATCCTGTTGAGGACACTCTCAGTCCTGCTGGGGACACTCTCAGTCCTGCTGGGGACACTCTCAGTCCTTTTGGGGACACTCAATCCTGTTGGGGACACTCTCGCTGCTGCTCCCGTCCCGCACAGCCCCCGGGCCCTCCCCACACCCGCAGTTTCTCCCTCCTCTGCAGCCCCCGCGCATCCCAAAATCCCCGGCGATTTCCCCCATCCCCCTCGGCTGACTCCGAGCTTTGGGCCCTTCCTCCCCTCCTCCTCCTCCTCCTCCTGCTGGCGGAGGAAGGGGCTCCCCCTCCCCCGCCATCTGTCCCCCCCATCGCGCTGTCAGCAGCGGCTGGAATGCGCATTCATTGCGGGAGGAATGTCGCTGTCACCCCCCGCACGGCCCGGCCTGGCCCGAGCCATCTCCTCCTGCTCCTCAGCATCCTCCACCCCCTCCCCGGGACCCCCCCAGCTTTGGGGACCCCTCGGGGGGCTCCGGGCGCTGCTGCCGGGCTGACGCTGCCCAGGCAGCCGAGGTGTGATGGAACGCAGGCTCGGCGCCTGATTAAACCCATCAGAAGGGGATTTTTTATTTATTTCTTTTTTTTTCTTACGGTGTTTGGATCCGTCGGAGTTTCACCTTAAAAGGAATGTGTCGCCTTCGGGCCGGGGGTTTCGGGAGGAAGGCACCTCAGTGTCGGGCTCTTATCGGTTCTGGCTCGGAGCATCCCCGGGCACGGGAAGCACCGAGCTAAATCTGGCACGGGACGAGCCGGGCGGGCAGCGATGCCGAGCACACCCGTGGGGGCGAGGCTGGCGGGTGCCAGCCGTGCCAGGGCCACCCGAGCCAGCGTGTGCCCTGTCCCGCTGTGCCCAGCCCTTTGCCCGGCATAAAGGAGCCCGTTCTTCGGCTGCGCGCTGATTTATGCGGCTCTCCCCACGCCCGGCTGCACAACGCGGCGATTGAACCCCCCCCAGCTCTCCGGAGCCCACCGCCCTCCGGCTCAGGGGGTCCCCAGGGGGTCCCGGAGGCTCTCAGGGCTGGGATGTGCGGGTTGAACCGCGGGCAGCCTGCCCGCAGCGGGCAGGAGCGGCGGCTGGCACTGGGTGGCACGGGCTGGCATCCCGGCCGCTCCTGCTGGCAAACCGGGAGGAAACTGGGGGAGCTCCTGGGCAGCAGCGAGCCTTGAGGGGCGTCTGTGGAGCCCCGGGGATGGGGGAGCATCGCCTCGGGGGGTGACAGCGGTCTGGGGGTGGGGGAGCATCGCACGGGGATGGGGTCTGTAACCCCAGGGGGCTGCATCGACCTGGGGATGGGGGAGAATCCTCCTGGGGGCATCGCCCTGGGATGGGGGAACATCTCTGAGGGCATTGTCCTGGGGGGCTTCATCACCCTGGGAGGCCACCACACCACCCTGGGAATGGGGGAACATCTGCTGGGGGCATCACCCTGGGAATGAAGGAACATCTCCTGGGGGCATTGCCCTGGGAATGAAGGAACATCTCCTGGGGGCATTGCCCTGGGGGGCTTCATCACCCTGGGAATGGGGGAGCATCTCCTGGGGGCATCACCCTGGGAATGGGAAAACATCTCCTTGGGGGCTTCATCATCCTGGGAATGGGAGAACCTTCTCTTTGGGGCATTGCCCTGGGGGCTGCATCACCCTGGGAATGGGAGAACACCCTCCTGGGGGTATTGCCCTGGGGATGGGGAAACATCTCCTGGGGGCTTCATCATCCTGGGAATGGGGGAACACCACCCCTAAGGGCATTGCTCTGGGGGCCACACCACCCTGGGAATGGAGGAGCATCTCCTGGGGGCATTGCCTTGGCATAGGGGAACATCTCCTGGGGGCATTGTCCTGGGGGCTGCATCAGCCTCAGGGGTGCATCATCCTGGGAGTGGAGTAACACCCTCCCACATCTCCTGGGGGCCACAACACCCTGGGAATGGAGTAACATCTCCTGGGGGCATTGCCCTGGGGGGCTGCATCACCCTGGGAATGGGGGAACATCCCCCTGGGGCTGCATCATCCTAGGAATGGGGGGACACTCCCCTAGGGGCATTGCCCTGGGGACCACACCACCCTGGGAATGGAGGAGCACCTCCTGGGGGCATTGCCTTGGAATAGGGGAACATCTCCTGTGGGCATTGTCCTGGGGGCTGCATCAGCCTCAGGGGTGCATCATCCTGGGAGTGGAGTAACACCCTCCCGGGGGCATCACCCTGGGAATGGAGAAGCATCCCCTGGGGGTTTCATGACCCTGGGAATGGAGTACCCTCCTCCTGGGGGTATTGCCCTGGGCGTTGAATCACCCTGGGAATGGGGGAACATCTCCTGGGGGCATCACCCTGGGATGGGGGAACATCTCCTGGGGGCTTCATCATCCTGGGAATGGGGGGACACAGCCCTAAGGGCATTGCCCTGGGGGCCACACCACCCTGGGAATGGAGAAGCATCTCCTGGGGGCATCACCCTGGGAATGGAGTAACCTCCTCCTGGGGGCATTGCCCTGGGGGGCTGCATCACCCTGGGAATGGGGGAACATCCCCCTGGGGCTGCATCATCCTAGGAATGGGGGGACACTCCCCTAGGGGCATTGCCCTGGGGACCACACCACCCTGGGAATGGAGGAGCATCTCCTGGGGGCTCCCTGGCCCTGGGGGCTGTATCACCCCAGGAGTGTGGCAGCCCCACCCCAGGGATTGTGCCCAGGTAGCTGCAGGGCTGTGCACTCAGAGCAGGGGCAGCACCATCCCACCCATCCTGCCCCAGCCCCCGCTGCTGGGTGGCCACCAGGGCACCTTCCACAGCCAAAAGCAGCCTGGAAGTGCAACCCCCACCCCCAGCCAGTGCCCTCCCCTGCCCCCAGAGTGAGGAGAGGCAGCCTGAGTGGGAGGATGAGGCTTTATTAAATTAATGAGGCAGTGGGTACATCCAGCGTGGCTCAGCCCCCAGTGTCAGCCTGGGGCTGATGTCCCCCAAAATGCTGAGTCCCAGGGTGCACTTTGGGGGGTCCCTACCCTCCAGCTGGACGTCCTGGGGCAAATACTGGGGGAGTTGGAGGGGGAAGATTGCAGGGAATGGGGAAACACAAGAGTTTAAATTAAATACACCCACCCAAGAGGAAGCTCAGAATGGACAGGGGTCCCAGAGCAAGCACGAGAGTTTGGGTGGGCTGTGGGGGTGCAACGGAACTTGGTGGTTCTTCACTCTGAAAAGGGGTGCAAAAAATCCACACAAACGTTAAAAACCACAGGGAGATGAGGAATCATTAGAGGGGGGTGGGACAAGGTGGGGGGTACAGGGTTTTGGCAGGAAGGGGCTGCCCCTGGCTGCTGTCACTCGTCCCCTGAGGACCAGGGCTCCTGCTCAGCCCTCAGCCCACACGCTGCTGCCTGCTGGGCTGTGGGGCACAGGACATCCTCCCCCAGAGCAGGGGGCACGGGGCTCAGCTGCTTGCCCCTCAGGGTGCCATCCCCCAGCTTGGTGGCCGTGCCATCTCCAGGGGTTGGCATCACCCCCGAGGGCTCTGTGGGCTCTGTGAGCAGCTCCTGTGCCAGGGCTGTGCTGCTGGTGCCGTTCAGCATCTCCTCGGTGAATTCAGGCAGCTCTTCCAGGCTGGCCTCCCGGTGCAGCCCGTTCTCAGCCCGGAGCACTCCCTCCACCTCCTCCGTCTCCATCTCCGGTACCTCTAAATTAAATACACCCACCCAAGAGGAAGCTCAGAATGGACAGGGGTCCCAGAGCAAGCACGAGAGTTTGGGTGGGCTGTGGGGGTGCAACAGAACTTGGTTCTTCACTCTGAAAAGGGGTGCAAAAAATCCACACAAACATGTTAAAAACCACAGGGAGATGAGGAATCATTAGAGGGGGGTGGGACAAGGTGGGGGGTACAGGGTTTTGGCAGGAAGGGGCTGCCCCTGGCTGCTGTCACTCGTCCCCTGAGGACCAGGGCTGCTGCTCAGCCCTCAGCCCACACGCTGCTGCCTGCTGGGCTGTGGGGCACAGGACATCCTCCCCCAGAGCAGGGGGCACGGGGCTCAGCTGCTTGCCCCTCAGGGTGCCATCCCCCAGCTTGGTGGCCGTGCCATCTCCAGGGGTTGGCATCACCCCCGAGGGCTCTGTGAGCAGCTCCTGTGCCAGGGCTGTGCTGCTGGTGCCGTTCAGCATCTCCTCGGTGAATTCAGGCAGCTCTTCCAGGCTGGCCTCCCGGTGCAGCCCGTTCTCAGCCCGGAGCACTCCCTCCACCTCCTCCGTCTCCATCTCCGGTACCTCCTGCACCGTTGGCTCCTCCTCGCTGGATGAGGTGAGGGAGGAGTCTTCCCCTGCATCCCGGGAGAGCTCAGCCCTGCCGGGACCCTGCCCACCCTCTGCCAGCCTCCCCCCCAGCAGCTCCTGGCTGAACTCCAGGGCCTGCTCAACTATTTCCAAAATCCCCGAGTCCTTCATGACATCCACTGGCACCTGTGCAGGGAGAGCAGCAGCGTCAGGGACGGCTGGAATCACCTCTGGAGAAGCTTCCTGCCCCGGGGCAGAGCCCAGCTGAGGTTCATTCCAGGCTGGAGGAAGGCTCCCACTGCCCAGAGCTTCCTCCTCCTCCTCCGTGGGTGGCTGCTCTTGCAGAGGTTGTTCTGCCTCACCAGGCACTGCCTGGGCCTGGAGCTCTGCTGTGCCCTTGGTTGTGTCATGGAGAGCTGTGCTGGGCTCATCCTCATCTTCCTCCTCCTCCTCCTGCTGCCCTGCCAGCCCCAGCGAGCAGCCTGGGAGGGGTCCTGCTCCACTGGCACCCCCCTGCAGCTCGGTTGTGTTGTGGAGCTCCTCATCTGCCTCAGCAGCCAGACCTTCTGGGTGCTCTGCTCCCTGCCACGCTGCAGCGCCCGTGGCACCCTGGGCTGGCTCTTCAGAACCTCCTGATGATGGTCCCACCACCCCGGGACAGCTGGGATCTTCTGGGCCTTCCTCATCAGAACCTCCTGATGATGGTCCTACCACCCCAAGACATCTGGGATCTTCTGGGCCTTCCTCATCAGAACCTCCTGATGATGGTCCTGTCACCCCAAGACAGCTGGGATCTTCTGGGCCTTCCTCATCAGAACCTCCTGATGATGGTCCCACCACCCCGGGACAGCTGGGATCTTCTCCTGAGCCTTCCTCATCAGAACCTCCTGATGATGGTCCTGTCACCCCGGGACAGCTGGGATCTTCTGGCCCTTCCTCATCAGAACCTCCTGATGATGGTTCCACCACCCTGAGACAGCTGGGATCTTCTCCTGGGCCTTCCTCCAGCTCAGCAGTGCTCTCCTCATCCTTTGGCACCTCAGGTTCTTCAGTGGGCACCTCCATATCCTCATCTGCTTCTGCAGCAAGCACCTCGAGGTGCTCTTTGCCCTCTGGCACTGGAGACGCTTCTCCAGGAGCCCCCAAATCATCTTGGCTGTCTTCAGTTGCTTCCACTTGAATTTCTTCAAAGTCCTCAGGGATCTCAGCTTCCTCTGAGTTGGACACCTCTTGGCTGGGAGCAGAGACCATGAAATAACCTTCCTCCTCCTCCTCAGCCCCCTCTGCTCCTTCCTCCTCCTCAGCCCCCTCTGCCCCTGCCTCCTCTCCAGGGCTCTCTGGCACGCTGGGGGTTGGTGGCTTGTCCCTCCTTTCACCCTCCTGGGCTGTGTCACACCCAGGGGCTGGCTCCGTGCTCTCCTCTCTCTCTGGAGGGTTTGGGGTCCCTCCTTGGTAGAGGTGCAGGGGTGTGCTGTCGGGCAGTGTGTCCTCCAGCTCCACCCTCCTGCCCGAGCCCACCGTGGGCTCTGCGTCTCTGGGGGTCTCCTCCAGTGCCCACTCACTGCTGTCACCTGGCACCTGCCCCAGTGCCAACTCTGAGCCCTCCAGCTCTCCCAACTCTGGGTTTTCGGGGGTTCCCTCCAACGCCCACTCGTCCCTGTCACCTGGCACCTGCTCCAGTGCCAGCTCTGAGCCCTCCAGCTCTCCCAGCTGTGTGGGTTCTGGGTTTTTGGGGGTGTCCTCTAATGCCCACTCGCTGCTGTCACCTGGCTCCTGCCCCAGTGCCAGCTCTGAGCTCTCCAGCTCTCCCAGCTCTGGGTTTTTGTGGGTGTCCTCTAATGCCCACTCACTGTTGTCACCTGGCTCCTGCTCCAGTGCCAGCTCTGAGCCCTCCAGCTCTCCCAGCTCTGGGTTTTTGGGGGTCCCCTCTAATGCCCACTCACTGTTGTCACCTGGCTCCTGCTCCAGTGCCAGCTCTGAGCTCTCCAGCTCCCCCAGCTCTGGGTTTTTGGGGGTCTCCTCTAATGCCCACTCGCTGTTGTCACCTGGCTCCTGCTCCAGTGCCAGCTCTGAGCTCTCCAGCTCCCCCAGCTCTGGGCTGAGCCCCTCATCCTGCCCCTCCCGTGGCTCCTCTGGACCCTGCTCCAGCTCCTGCCCGTCCCCTTGCCCAGGGGCACCTGGAGGAGCTGCCTGAGGCTGTGCCACGCTGCCCAGCTGCTCCTGCCGTGCCCGCTCAGCTGCTGGCTCAGCCTCTGGCAGCGCCTGCTGCTGGCTCATCTCCTGGCTCTTGGCATCTTCTTCATCATCTTCCTGGGCCTCCTCCAGCTCTGCTGGCCCTGTGCCACCTCTCTCCTCGCTTTCCAGCCTTGCTGCACTGCTCGGGGTGTCGTCTGCCCAGGCTGCCTCTTCTGGCCCCAACGCTCCCTCAGTGTCCCCTGCTGTCGCCTCCCAGTCCTCTGGAGAGGGCTCTTGGCCACTGCCACCACCCTCCTGTGCCCAGGGCTCCTCTCCTGGCTGCAGCTCCTCCTGTTCCTCCCCCTGGCTTTCCTGCAGCTCCTCTGGGGTTCTGCTGTGCCCCTGCGGGGTGTCACCTGCCACAGCCTCTCCTGGCCCAGGGGTCTCTCCTGCCTGGGAGCCTTCTCCTGCCCCGTGGTCTTCTCCTGTCTCATGATCTTCTCCTGCCCCATGATCTTCTCCTGCCTCAGAGCCTTCTCCTACCCCGTGGTCTTTTTCTACCCCATGGACTTCTCCTGTCTCATGGTCTTCTCCTGCCCCGTGGTCTTCTCCTGCCCCATGACCTTCTCCTGGCCCAGGGTCCTCTCCTGCCCCATGGATTTCTGACTCGGAGCCTTTTTCTGTCCCATGGACTTCTCCTGTCTCATGATCTTCTCCTGCCTCACGGTCTTCTCCTGACTCAGAGTCCTCCCCTGCTGTGAGGTGCTCTCCTGCCATGTTGTCCTCTCCTCCCAGCACCTCCCTGCTGGCCTCTCCCTTTTCTCCCTCAGCACTTTCCCCTCTGCCTGTGTCCTCCTGTCCCACAGCGTCTTCTTCATCTCCTGTGGAAGCCTGCTCTGCTGGGATGGTCTCACGGGCACTCGAGGGCTCCTGCTCTGGGCACAGCTCCTGCTCCCTTTCCTTCTCTGCAGCCGGATCCATCTCACACACGGGCGTTTCCTGCTGCTCAGACCTTCCCTGCTCTGCATCAGCAAAGTCCTCTCCCAGGTCACCTTTTGTGGGCAACACCGGGTGGCTTTCCACAAGGACACCAGCAGCAGCTTGCACTTCTCTGTGTGGGCACTCCTCTTGTTGCACACCCGTTCCTTCTTCCTGGAAATCGCCCTTCTCCTCCTCCTCATCCTCCGAGGGGTGCGATGGCTCTGTGCTTGGGCTCTCTGCCCTCTCCTCCTCTGCCTTTTCCCAGCTGCTCTCTGTCTGTCCAGGGAGATCCTCGTCCCCCTCCTGGGCCTCCATTTCTGGATGCCCTGGGCTCAGCACAGCAGGTACCTCCTCCTCTTCCTCCTCCTCCTCCTGCCATGCTCCCAGCTCTTCCCGGCTCCCCGAGGCTCTCAGGGGAGCGGCCGTGCCCTGTGGGGAGGGGGCTGTGCCCTGCAGGACGCTGCTGTCAGCAGCCAGCCCCTGGAGCATCCCCTCCCCAGCCCTCTGCTCTTCCTCGGGGTTCTCCCCATCCTCAGAGCCCTCCGAGGGCTCTCGCTCCTCCCCAGGCCGCTCTCCACAAACCTCGGGGGGGAAAACGGGGCTGGGGGCACAGATATCCCACTCGGAGCTGGCTGTGGGCTCCTCTCCGGGCTGAGCATCGCCTTCCATCGCCTTGAGGGCATCCTCCAGCGCCTCGCTGACCAGCTGGGCCGGGTACTGCAGCCTGTGGGCGGCTCCCAGGGGCTGCAGGCTGGCACTGCCGATGTCCCCCGAGGCTCTGGACAGGGCACACTCCATCTCCGGGCTCATCGCTGCCTCATCTCCTCCCGGCCAGGCGGGGCCGTCTCCCCCAGAGCTCTCCCTCTGCGGCGGGGAGGGGCTGGGGGGCTCCGGGGAGAGCGGAGGGTCGGCTCTGCCAGCCTGGGGGGCTCTGGGTGTGGTAGCTCCCAGCCCCCCAGCCCTGCCATGCAGAGCTGAGGTGATTTTCTGGAGCTCCCTGGCGCTTTGGGCTGTCGGGGGGTCTCTCGGGGGTTTTTTTAGCTCTGCCCGGGGCTCTCGGGGCAGCAGCAGCCGCCTGGCCTCGGGGCTCGCTGCCAGCGCTTTGCTGCTGCTCACCTCCAGCTTGACATCTGCAAAGAGCGAGGGCGAGCCGTGAGCAGCCCTCCCCTGCCCCTTCTCCTATTTTTAATCATCTCCTTCTTGGAAAGTGGGGAAATTCCTCCCTCCTGAGCGCAGCGGATGCTGCTGGCCCCGGGGGATGCAGCATCGGGCCGGGACAATGCCGCGCCCAGCTGCAGCCGCAGCCGGCCCCTGCTGCTGGGGCAAGTGGGCAGGTGACAAGCTTTCCTTGGTTTGTTTTGTTTTGTTTTGAGGAAAAAGGAAATGCTCAGCTGGTTAGCACAGCCCTCCGTCCGCTCCTGCTCTTGCCATGAAAGGCAGGGAATTAAAAACGAGGCAAAGGAGCAGATAAGGCTCGCGAAGGAGCAGATAAGGCTTATCTGGGCTCTGAGCCCTGTGCCAAGAGCCCCCGGCCGCCGTTCACACCTTCCTATCGCTGCCGGGAAAATGAGGGGAAATGTGTCTAAGTTAGCATTTAAACCCCTCCAGGAAAATGCAGGAAAATGTGTCTAAATCCACATTTAAACACACCTAACCCCCCCAGGTAAATGTGTCTAAATCCACTTTTAAACCCCAACAGGAAAATGCACAGAAACGTGTCTAAATCCACATTTAGACAGATTTAAACCCCCCGAGCCCTCCCGGGGTGCTGTTGGGGGTCCCTTACCTCGCACACCATTGGCCAGCCTGAATTCCCCTGCGGGCATCTGCAGGCGGGTGCTCTCTGCTTCCAGCAGCGTCCTGGAGGGAGGAGGAGGAGGAGAGGAGCTCGGTGGGTGCTGCAGGGTGCTGGGTGCTCCCTGTGCACCCTAGGGTGGGTAAACTGAGGCACGGGTGTTTGTGCCGCTCTGGACACGGTGTCAGGGCAGGTAAACTGAGGCACGGGTGATTGTGCCGCTCTGAACACAGAGCGTCAGGGCGGGTAAACTGAGGCACGGCTGCTCGTGCCTCTCTGGGCACAGGGCCTCAGGGCAGGTAAACTGAGGCAGGGCTGCTTGTGCCGCTCTGGACATGGTGTCAGGGCAGGTAAACTGAGGCACGGGTGATTGTACTGCTCTGGGCACGGTGTCAGGGCAGGTAAACTGAGGCACGGGTGATTGTACTGCTCTGAACACAGGGCTTCAGGGCGGGTAAACTGAGGCACGGGTGGTTGTGCCGTTCTGAACACGGCGTCAGGGCAGGTAAACTGAGGCACGGCCGCCCTGGCACGGCTCGGAGCACACCGAAGGAGCCCCCCTCTCTCCTGCGCCCCCTCCCATCCCCCCGTGGCCGGGATTAGTGTCCCCGCAGGGTGACATCATGCTCTGCCGGGGAGGCCCCTCGCCCGGGCTGGGACAGCCCCATTCTCATGCTAATTGTCCCCCCTGTCCCTTTGTGCGGGGCCGTCTGGAAGGGCCGCGCGAGGGGCACAGGGCTGCCCCTGGAGTGCCAACACCCCCGCGGTGCCAGGCCCGGCTCCGTGCCCGCCCAGAGCTCACCTGTAGGTCGCCACCTCCAGGCTCAGGGACATCTTGAGGTGCATGAGCTGCTGCCTGTCCTCCAGCACCCGGGCGATCTGCACCCGCAGGCTCTGCTGCTCCTGCTCCAGGGCCTCCAGCGCCAGCTGCGGGCACCACGGGGAGGGTCAGGGTCGCCCCCAGCCCCTCCTGAGCCCCCCCGGTCCCCGCGGATCCGGGCCGGGCGGGTGGTTCTGCTCATCCCCGCAGGATGCTCAGGAACCTGGGGGCTCATTCTAGCCCGGGGGGCAGAGGATGGGGCAGGGGGAGCAGGGCTGAAAGGGGACGGGAAGAGGGAGGAAAGGCCGGGGTGATTCACAGCCGGCGTGGGAAAGAAACAACTTCCAGGGGAACAGGCGAGGCGGCGGCATCCTCTGCGCCGGGACAGCCAGCGCTGCTCCCCGGAGCTGGAACAAAGGCAGACCCTTCCCCGGGCAGAGTCCGCGCCGCTCCCGGTGTTTCCAGCCCGCTCCGCCTCCACCTCGCTCGGCTGAATCGCTTTTGCAGCTGTCGGTGGTCGGTGGGAGTTTGTCCTGCCCGCACCGGGGGCGGCGGCGATCCCGGGATCCCCATCCCGGAGCCCGGCAGGGGCTGGGGGAGCACCCGGGGTCTGCCGCAGTTTGGTGGCCCCGGCTCTCTGTTGTGCCGGGGACAGAGATGTCCCCAAGCCACTTTGCTCTTCCTCCTGCCCTCCCCAGCTCACCCAGGGCCATCTCCATCCCTTCCCTGGGGTTTGTTCCCTCTGTCTGCCTCCCCCCATCCACCTCTCGCATCCCTTCGCTCGGGGACGTGCCCTGGGTACCCGCCAAGCCACCCACAGCCCCCTGCTGTCCCCTCCCCGGGGATTTTCACTCACCTGGAACTTTTCTGCCTCCCCGCGCTGCTCCTGCCACTGCCGGGCCAGGCTCTCCTCCAGCATCTCCTTGCGTGCCTTGAGCCCCGCCAGCTCCTTCTCCAGGTGCTGCAGCTGCAGCTGGCTCTGCTGGTTGTCCTCCACCGCCTTCCACAGGTTCTCCTTGGCCTGGCACAGGGAACCCTCCAGCTGCGCCACCTCTGCCTTGTAGGTCTCCACGGCCCCTTTCCAGATCTCCGAGAGCCTCTTGGAGTAATCCTGCACCTCCACCGGCTGGAAAGCCACCGGGGCGCAGCGGAAACTCTCCAGGCTGTGAGAGAAGCTGGCGATCTCCTGGTCCAGCCCCGCTTTCTCCTCCTCGTGCACCTCCAGCAAGGCTTCCACCTCCTTCTCCAGCTGCACGGCTCTTTCCTTCAGCCAGATCTGTGCTCTCCTCTCCTCCTCCAGCTCCTTCCTGCTCAAGGACAGCTGCTTCTTAGCTTCTTCTCGGGCCGCCTGCTCCTTCTGGCACCTGCTTCTCACCTGCTGGACCTCCTCGTAGAGGTTGTCCCTGGCCAGCTCGGCCGTGCACTTCTCCCTGAAGGCGAGGTCCAGCGCATCCCGCAGGGCTCGCAGCTCCTCCTCGTACTTCGCCCTCCACGAGTCCCCGGCCGGGCTGCTCTTGGTGCTCTGGATTTCGGCTCGCAGCACCTCGTTCTCCTCCTCCAGGAACTTCACGCGGGCCAGGTACGCCTCCAGGCGCTTGTTGAGGTCCCACATCTGCAGCGATTCCTCTCCCAGGGCTCTCGCCCCCGCGAAACTCTCGGTGCTCAGCATGGGCGCTGCCGGGCCAGGAGGATGCGGGGAGAACGCCGAGACACAGCGGAAGGCGGGGAGGGAAGCGAGTGCCTGGGAGCAGAGGGGAGCGCAGCTATTCATACTCTGCGCTGCCGAGTGGGAGGCCCCCGAGACCCGGGCGAGCAGCCGGATTTAACCCTTGCACAGCCGAGCCGGCTCCAGCCCACGTGGGCTCGACGCTGAGCTCCGGTTCCCCAGCCCTGAGGAAGAGCAAGGTGCTCCTTCGCGCTTCGGGAGGGTGACATGAGGGCTTGGATCCTGTCCTGGCGTGGCTCGGCTGGGAATGTCCTCCCTAAAGCCTGAGGGCCATGCCAGGGAGCTGGAGGGCTCGGCGTGGAGCTTGGGACGCGTCCAAGGGCGCTTGGCAGATGCCCGTGCTGGCTGCAGCATCCCTCGGCGGTGGCTTGTGAGCCCCGTGCTGCCCCAAAATCTGCGGCAAGGAGCCCCAGAGGAGCCCGCCGGGGGTGACACAGCCGTGGCGAGGTGATGGCTGCACAGAGGACACCTCTTGGCAGGTCCCTGGATCCATCCGTGCGGGAATCCCTCTGCGGAGGGAGAGCAGCTCAGCCCGTGGTCCCCGGGGCGCTGCGTCCAGCTGTGTCCAGCTGTGTCCAGCTGCACTCTTCCCTCTTTCCAGATGTCCCTGGCGGGCTGTGCGGAGCCGGGAGCCCAACGGGAGCAGCTCCTCCGAAACTTGGCAAGCGGCGGCTCCAAGTTTGGTTTCCGTCAGAGCTTTCAAGCAGTCACGGTCGGATATTTGGGGATTAGGATTTTTGATTTTTCTCTATTTACCCCGGATGACTTCTCTGGGGGAAGGGCAGCGCGCTGCCGAGGGGCGGAGATTCAAAATTTCAAACTCGGGAGGTTTCTGCGAACAAAAGGAGCAGGAAAACGCCGCTCGGGGAGAGACTTCCAGCGTTTTCTCCCGGGAGACGCTGATTTTTCCCACGGGAGGGTCCCCGCTATGTCCTCACCAGGGCAAGGAGGACAGGAATGTCTCCTCCCGAGCTGTCCCACGGGACAGGCTTCTGGAAAGACAAGCAACAGTCCCCTCTGCTGGCAAAGGCCACCCAGAGCCGAACCCGAGCTCCTTCCAGCCCCTGGGAGGGACGAGGCTTTCCCCTGGTGCCTGAGGGGGGGATGGCCCGGCTCGGGGGTCCCCAAAGGCATCATCTTTCCGGCTCATCTCCGGCCAGACATCCTGTCTGGCTCCTTGGCCCGGCTCTGCTTTGCCTCTCACGGCCAAGATTGAAATGCCATTAAGGAGCACAGGGAGTGATGAGGTTGAATAATTGATCTGGGGTCTCCGGAGCCACGGGCACTGGGGTGATGCAGTGTGTCTTTATCTTCCTCCTCCTAATTTCCACAGCACAGCTGGCCTTCCTCACTGCCTGGCTGCTCTCATTTTCCTCCTTTCCACCTCCTCTTTCCACCTGGGATGTCCAGGTGGCCCCAAAACTGCTGCAAAAAGACCCCCAGTGCTCATGGCTGCACTGAGAGGTGCCCTGGGAGTGAGCAATTCCTTCCTCCCTGGCCTTGTCCCCCTCTTCCTCCTCCTGCCTTTTGGGGTTCCCCATTGTGCCTGGCCCCTCTCTCTCAGCCAGCAGCAGGGCTCAGCAAGGTGGTCCAAATCCTGCAGCCCAGGGAGGACTCAGGATGGCCCAGGATGGGGATGTCAGTGTCGGATGTTTGAGTTCAGGAAGTCCCAGGACAGGGATGTCAGTGTCCCTGGGGGATGTTTGAGTTCAGGAAGTCCCAGGACAGGGATGTCAGTGTTCCTGGGGGATGTTTGAGCTCAGGATGCTCCAGGATGGGGATGTCCATGTCTCTGGGGGGTGTTTGGGCTCAGAATGCCCCAGGACGGGGATGTCCATGTCCCTGGGGGTTGTCTGAGCTCAGGATGCCCCAGGATGTGGAAGTCCATGTTCCCGGGGATGTTTGAGCTCAGGATGCTCCTGGATGGGGATGTTTGAGCTCAGGATGGCCCAGGATGGGGATGTCAGTGTCCCTGGGGATGTTTGGGCTCAGAATGCTCCAGGACAGGGATGTCCATGTCCCTGGGGGATGTTTGAGTTCAGGATACCCCAGGATGGGGATGTCAGTGTCCCTGGGGATGTTTGAGCTCAGGATGCTCCTGGATGGGGATGTTTGAGCTCAGGATGTCCCAGGATGGGGATGTCTGAGCTCAGGATGCACCAGGATGTGGAAGTCCATGTTCCCGGGGATATTTGAGCTCAGGATGCTCCTGGATGGGGATATTTGAGCTCAGGATGTCCCAGGATGGGGATGTCAGTGTCCCTGGGGATGTTTGAGCTCAGGAAGTCCCAGGACAGGGATGTCAGTGTTCCTGGGGGATGTCTGAGCTCAGGATGCCCCAGGATGGGGATGTCAGTGTTCCTGGGGGATGTCTGAGCTCAGGATGCCCCAGGATGGGGATGTCAGCGTCCCTGGGGGATGTTTGAGCTCGGGATCCCCTAGAACAGGCATGTATTTGAGCTCAGGATGTCCCAGAATGGGGATGTCTGAGCTCAAGATGTCCCAGGATGTGGAAGTCCATGTCCCTGGGGGATGTTTGAGTTCAGGATACCCCAGGATGGGGATGTCAGCGTCCCTGGGGGATGTTTGAGCTCGGGATCCCCTAGAACAGGCATGTCTGGACCTCTGGGGAGTTTTTGGGGTCAGAACCCCCTTTAGGAGAGGCATGTCTGGACCTCTGGGGAATGCCTGGGGTCAGAACCCCCTGGGAATGGGATGTCTGTGCCCCTGGGGAGTTTTTGGGGTCAGAACCCCCTGGGAACGGGATGTCTGTGCCCCTGAGAGGTTCTTGGGCTCAGGACTCCCTGGGATGGCACCACCGGGGGGTTCTCAGGGTCAGGACCCCCTGGGAACGGGGGGTTTGTCCCCGTGGGGGGCTCAGGCGGCCGTTCAGCGTGACAGAGCTTTGTGGGGTGGCAGTTTGTGACAGAGCTTTGTGGGGTGACGGTTTGTGACAGATCTTTGTGGGGGTGACAGTTTGTGGCAGATCTTTGTGGGGGTGGCAGCTTGAGGGTGCCCTGCAGTCCCAGGGTGGGAGCTGGCACGTGCTGGGCACGGGGTGCCTGGCACGGGGCGCGTGGCACGGGCTGGTACGTGCCTTTGACTTTGAGCAGGGCTGGAGGAGGAGGAGGAGGAGGAAGCACAGCTGGGCGCTGGGGCCCTTCCAGCCTGAGCACAGCTGGGGCTGGGGGTGGCTGGGGGTCCCTGTGGGGGTCCCCCACGCCCTTGGCTGCTGGGGAGGGCTGAGCCAGAGCGTTGCAGAGCTGCAGGGAGGGATGGCATCCTCTGGGCATCCCACGGGGGCTGTGCCCTGCTCCCTCCTGCTCCTCCCCTGCCCTTGCAGGAGCTGCGTGTCCCAAGGACGGTCACACACCTTTCCTGAGAAAAGGATGAGGAACAATTCCTGCTTTTTTTGCTGCAGCTGGTGGTGTGAGCACGCGGAATGCGCCAGGGAGAATTGGATGGGGTGGATTTTACCAAAGGCTGCTTTCTTAATTAGCCAGCGGTGACGGGGTTTGGGTTGGAGGAACAATTAGGTCCACCTGTATTGTAAATATTGTATTGTATTGTAAACAATACACCTGTATTGTTTATAAAAGGAATGGGTTTCTTAATAATAATATATGATAAAGAGTAATTATAATATAGAATAAAGATTTAATAATAATATATAGTAGAGTAATTATAATATAGAATAATAATATATAATAAAGAGTAATTATAATATAGAATAAAGATTTAATAATAATATATAGTAGAGTAATTATAATATAGAATAATAATATATAATAAAGAGTAATTATAATATAGAATAAAGATTTAATAATAATATATAGTAGAGTAATTAAAAGACTAACAATACATAACAAAGATTAATAAGAATATATAATAATCACAATATTATAGAATAAATTTAACAATATATAATAAATTTAATAATGTACAATAAATATTATTATTAATACCATGTAATAAATATTAATAACATATAATAAATACAAACAGGATATAATATTAATAAGAATATAGAATAATTATAATAATATAGAATAAATTTCAAAATTGATAATAAATTTATTAATGTATAATAAATATTACTATTAAGATAGACTAAATATTAATTATAATAATATAGAATAAATTTCAAAATTGATAATAAATTTATTAATGTATAATAAATATTACTATTAAGATAGACTAAATATTAATTATAATAATATAGAATAAATTTCAAAATTGATAATAAATTTATTAATGTATAATAAATATTACTATTAAGATAGACTAAATATTAATTATAATAATATAGAATAAATTTCAAAATTGATAATAAATTTATTAATGTATAATAAATATTACTATTAAGATAGACTAAATATTAATCATAATAATATATAGTGAAGAGTAATAATAATATGTAATAAAGATAGAGATTGATCAGCCTTCTGTGAATCATAGAGTCAATTCTCATTATTACCCAGCTGGGGCCCCTTGTGATGGCAAAGACTGCACCCTGTGGGTGCCAAGAGCCAGGAAGGAGCAGGAGCTGCCCTGGAAGGAGCAGGAGCTGCCTGGGAAGGAGCAGGAGCTGCCCTGGGAAGGAGCAGGAGCTGCCCTGGAAGGAGCAGGAGCCGCCCTGGAAGGAGCAGGAGCTGCCCTGGAAGGAGCAGGAGCTGCCTGGGAAGGAGCAGGAGCTGCCCTGGAAGGAGCAGGAGCTGCCCTGGGAAGGAGCAGGAGCTGCCCTGGAAGGAGCAGGAGCTGCCCTGGGAAGGAGCTGGCACAGCAGCAGCTCTGGATATTCCCTCTGAGCCACAAGGAAACCCCAGCGTGGCATTCACATTTTCTGGAAAAATCCCTTCGCTCAGGATTTCTCTCCTGGGAGGCTGCACCCAGCTGGGGTCCCCTTGTGATGACAAAGACTGCACCCTGTGGGTGCCAAGGGCCAGGAAGGAGCAGGAGCCGCCCTGAGAAGGAGCAGGAGCCGCCCTGGGAAGGAGCAGGAGCTGCCCTGGAAGGAGCAGGAGCCGCCCTGGGAAGGAGCAGGAGCTGCCCTGGAGTCAATTCTCATTATTACCCAGCTGGGGCCCCTTGTGATGGCAAAGACTGCACCCTGTGGGTGCCAAGAGCCAGGAAGGAGCAGGAGCTGCCCTGGAAGGAGCAGGAGCTGCCTGGGAAGGAGCAGGAGCTGCCCTGGAAGGAGCAGGAGCTGCCCGGGAAGGAGCAGGAGCTGCCCTGAGAAGGAGCAGGAGCTGCCCTGAGAAGGAGCAGGAGCTGCCCTGGGAAGGAGCAGGAGCTGCCCTGGAAGGAGCAGGAGCCGCCCTGAACATTTTCTGGAAAAATCCCTTCGCTCAGGATTTCTCTCCTGGGAGGCTGAGCAGCCTCAGAGAAAAGGAAAACAATTCTCATCTCATTTGCTTCTCCTGTGCTGTGCTCATGTGTGGGATGTGTTTGGAGGTTGTTCACCCACAGGTGATTGTTCCATTGGGCTCTGCTGTGAGATGTTGTCACTCTTTGGCCGCTCAGGGCCAAGCTGTGTCCGGACTCTGGAGAGAGTCACAAATTTCATTATTATCTTTTTAGCATTCTGTAAGTGTCCTTTTGTATTCTTTAACATGGTATAGTTTAGTATTCTTTAATATAATATAATAAAACAATAAATTAGCCTTCTGAGAACATGGAGTCAGATTCATCATTCCTCCCTGCCACGAGGGTCCCTGCACACACCAAACCCCAGGGGACATTGGTTCCCAGCCAGAGTGGGGGAGGCTCCTCAGCCCCAGCCTGTCCCTCAAAGTGCATTTCTGGGGTGGGATTCCCATTTGGGGCAGGATGGGAGCTCACAGGCTGAGACTGGGGATCTCTGCTCCTCAAAGTGCATTTCTGGGATGGGTTTCCCATCTGGGGGCAGAATGGGACCTCGTGAGCTGGGACTGGGGAGCTCTGTCCCTGAAAGTGCATTTGTGGGGGTGGGATTCCCATCTGGGGGCAGGATGGGACCTCGTGAGCTGGGACTGGGGAATTCTGTCCCTCAAAGTGCATTTCTGGGGTGGGTTTCCCATCTGGGGGCAGAATGGGAGCTCATGGGCTGGGACTGGGGAGCCCTGTCCTATAAAGTGCATTTCTGGGGGTGGATTTCCCATCAGGGCAGGATGGGAGCTCATGGGCTCGGACTGGGGAGCCCTGACCTATAAAGTGCATTTCTGGGGGCGGATTTCCCATTGGGGCAGGAGGGGAGCTCACAGACTGAGACTGGGAATCTCTGCTCCTCAAAGTGCATTTCGGGGGGTGGGATTCCCATCAGGGCAGGATGGGAGCTCATGGGCTCGGACTGGGGAGCCCTGACCTATAAAGTGCATTTCTGGGGGCGGATTTCCCATTGGGGCAGGAGGGGAGCTCACAGACTGAGACTGGGAATCTCTGCTCCTCAAAGTGCATTTCGGGGGGTGGGATTCCCATCAGGGCAGGATGGGAGCTCATGGGCTGGGACTGGGGATCTCTGCTCCTCAAAGTGCATTTCTGGGGGTGGGATTCCCATCAGGGCAGGATGGGAGCTCATGGGCTGGGACTTTTCCCATCAGGGCAGGATGGCAGCTCACGGGCTGGGATTGGGGAGGGGAGGCTGGGGCAGCTCTGGGGGTTCACCCCTGAACATCCTGGTGCCTGTCCTGGCACGGCAGAGAGCAGTGTGAGTGTGAGTGTCTGAGCACTGTGAGAGTGAGTGTGAGTGTCCAGCACTGTGAGTGTGACAGTGAGTGTGTCTGAGCACTGTGGTGTGAGTGTCCAGCAGTGTGAGAGTGAGTGTCCCTGCCCTCTGGTGTGAGTGTGAGTGTCCAGCCCTGGGTGTGAATGTCCAGCCCCACAGAGTGTCCAGCCCTGGGTGTGAGTGTGAATGTCCAGCCCTGGGTGTGAGTGTCCAGCCCCACGGTGTGTCCATCCCCGAGGTGTGAGTGTCCAGCCCCACGGTGTGTCCATCCCCGAGGTGTGAGTGTGAATGTCCATCCCCGAGGTGTGAGTGTCCAGCCCCACGGTGTGTCCATCCCCGAGGTGTGAGTGTGAATGTCCATCCCCGTGGTGTGAATGTCCAGCCCCACGGTGTGTCCATCCCCGAGGTGTGAGTGTCCAGCCCCACGGTGTGTCCATCCCTGTGGTGTGAGTGTGAATGTCCATCCCCGTGGTGTGAATGTCCAGCAGAGAGCACTGGGAGTGTGAGTGGCTGAGCACTGTGAGAGTGAGTGTGAGTGTCCAGCACTGTGAGTGTGACAGTGAGTGTGTCTGAGCACTGTGGTGTGAGTGTGCAGCAGTGTGAATGTGAGTGTCCAGCCTGTGGTGTGAGTGTCCAGCCCTGGGTGTGAATGTCCAGCCCCACAGAGTGTCCAGCCCTGGGTGTGAGTGTGAATGTCCAGCCCTGGGTGTGAGTGTCCAGCCCCACGGTGTGTCCATCCCCGAGGTGTGAGTGTCCAGCCCCACGGTGTGTCCATCCCCGAGGTGTGAGTGTCCAGCCCTGGGTGTGAGTGTCCAGCCCCACGGTGTGTCCATCCCCGAGGTGTGAGTGTCCAGCCCCACGGTGTGTCCATCCCTCCAGCCCTGGGTGTGAATGTCCAGCCCCACAGAGTGTCCAGCCCCATGGTGTGAGTGTGAGTGTCCAGCCCTGTGGTCTGAGTGTGATTGTGAGTGTCCAGCCTGTGGTGTGAGTGTCCAGCCCTGGGTGTGAATGTCCAGCCCCACGGTGTGTCCATCCCCGTGGTGTGAGTGTCCAGCCCCACGGTGTGTCCATCCCCGAGGTGTGAGTGTCCAGCCCTGGGTGTGAGTGTCCAGCCCCACGGTGTGTCCATCCCCGAGGTGTGAGTGTCCAGCCCCACGGTGTGTCCATCCCCGAGGTGTGAGTGTCCAGCCCCACGGTGTGTCCATCCCTGTGGTGTGAGTGTGAATGTCCATCCCCGAGGTGTGAGTGTCCAGCCCCACGGTGTGTCCATCCCCGAGGTATGAGTGTCCGAGCATCCCCCACTGGTCCCTCCCCCCGATCTGCCGCGCTGCCGAGACCGCCTCTGCCGCCTGCAATTATTTCCCAGGGCGACAAATGATTAATTCTGCTCAGGAGCTGTGGCTTTCTGCAAACTCACCCGAGCAATTCCCTGGCAGGCTCCGCGCCGCCCCCCCGGGCAGGGAATGCTCCGTGCCAGGGAAAGTTTCAGCGAGATCTGCTTAAAAAAATCCCTGATGCCAGCTGCTGGGTGCTGCCCTTCTGCCAAGGGGCTTGAGTCTGCAAACGGGGTGTGCCAGCTGCCCACTGGTGCCCAGGTCCCCAACATCCCTGCAGGAAGGAGGATTTTAGGCACTGCAGCCTAAAGATGCATAAATTATCCCGGCCCTGACGCAGATGCAGGTGGGTAAACTGAGGCACGGACGGGACTTGGCTGTGAGTGCGGTGCTGGGAGCTTGGCTCTGGCTGCTCCCACCACCCTTGCGGGGCTGGCAAAGCCCCTGGGCTCCTCACCCACCTCGGCCCCGCAGCGAAAGGGCTTTTACATGACAAAACCCTTGCTGGCTAGCGGGACCCCCGCCCCCGTCCAGCTGAAGCTGCCAAACCCCAGGAATGACAACTCCAAGGGCATTCCCGTGCCATGGCGGGTCTGGGGGCGGGGGGGGGGACACCCCCATCCTCTGCTCCCCCACTTCTGCTGCATTGGGTTAACACCGTGCCCGGGCTGAGCATCCTCCTCTCGTGCGGGCTTTGCCAGCTGCCAGGAGGGAGGGACGGGGAGGGACGAGGAGCCTGCCAACACCACGGTAGTATCTTTTTTTTTTTCCTTCTTAATTAGGGGAAGGAATAAATATAAAAGGAGGAGGGAAAGGGGAAGGGAGAAGAAAAAAAAAAAGCAGAGTGGAGGACACGGACACACACACAGAAGGCTCTTTTCTCGGCGCCTGCACTTATGCCTGGTGCAGCTCCTTCCCAGCCCTGCTGCCAACCTGCTGCCCGCGCTGCCCCGGAGGAGCCGCAGCCCAGCCCCACGCCGGTGCCCCGGGCCGGGGCAGCCCCCGCCGGTGCTGCGGCCACGCACGGAGCCAGGTGAGCTGCGGGAGCGCCGCTGCCCCGCTCCCGGGGGTCCCCGGGATCTGCGGTGTCCCCGGGATCTGCGCTTTTCATCCCGGTCTCGCCTCTCACCCCCGCACAAAGCAAAACGAGACCTGAGCTGGCGGTGCCCGGAGGTTTTTTGGGGTTTTTGCCCGCGGGGGGCACAGGGCACCGTGCTGCCCTGCAGCTGGGGATGCTCGGGGAGCTTTGTCCTTGTCACCGACCCCTCCCCGAGGGCAGCACCGCGCTGCGAGCTTTGCTAAAGGCACAGCGGGGGCTGGGGGGGGGCTCCTGCCAAGTTGGAAGGAGAAAGGACTTTGGGGCTGCCCGGCTGCTGCAGCTTGGAGCCCAGCCCGGAGCTCAGCCCGGAGCCCAGCCCGGAGCCCAGCCCGGCCCGCGGCACCTCCAGCAGCGGGGCTCCGAGGTTTTGGGCAGAAAGGGCATTTTCCGGGCACTTTCAGCAGCTGCTGCCTCATTTTGGGAAAGGGGCCAGGATCCCGGATGGGGCTGGCGTGTTCTGTTTGCCCTGCAGAGCCTCTGCTCCTTGTCCCAAGGAGGCTGCAGTCAGGGCAGCAGTGCGAAGGGAAACTGAGGCACGGAGCCGGGCAGGGATCCGGCTCCCCCCGCTCCTTCCCGGCCGTGCCGCTGCTCCCCGTGGGGGTGGGCTGGGCTCAGGGGCAAAGCTGCTAGGTCCGGGGGGGGCTGGGAGCGAGCCCAAAATTTGGGATGGTTCTCCCTGTCCTCCCCAGCTCTCTCTGCTGGTGTCCCAGCGGGGGAGGCAGGAGGGGCTGGGAGAAAACGTTTCAGGATTTTTACGGCTTTTTCCAACCGATCAGCCCCCCTGAGAAGCCCAGACCCGCCGGGGGTGTCCCGGGGAGAGGGAATTGTCCTGCAGCCCTCTTCCCCTCCCGCAGCCGGAGCATTTCGTCGCAGGACGAAGGGGCTGCCCTTGAGCATCCCCGCCAGGGACCTCTGCTCCTGGCACGCCGGCTTCTCCTCTCTCAGCCCAACCCAGAACCTGTTGCTCTTCCTTTTGGCCGCCCGCGGGGTGGGAGAAACCTCTCTGTACCCAGCTTGGAGCCTTTTGCAGCTTCTGGGCTCAGGCACGGCAGGGAGAGGCTGAGCAGGGGATTTTAGGGCTGCTTTTCAGGGAATGGCTTCAGACTGGGGAAACTGGGAGACGGGGTGAGGTTGTGCTGGGAGGGGGGAGATGCGAGTCTGGCTCCCAGCTGAGCTGCACTGCTGAAATCAGGCACTCCCCCCTCGTGCCTCAGTTTCCCACCAGAGCCCGGGGAGGCGGGGGTGGGTGTGCAAACCTTTCACGTGTGCGTGTGACACACTTACCCGGGGCTACACGTGCTGGCGCATCCCTGGCGGCTCCCGCGGGCTCCGCTCGCCCCCCGCCCCTCCGTGCGGGGCTGAATCCCCCCAGGGACCCTCCCCGCCCTCTCCCCCTGCAACAAGGAGCCCCTTTCTCCCCGTTCGGGGGGCTCGGGGTCCTGGCAGCTGCAGGAACCCCCCTCCTTCCCCCCACCTGCTTCCGGCCTTTGAGCCGCGCCAGCTCCGCTGCCAGGAGCGCTCCCCGCGCATCCCGGGGCTGGCATGTGCCTGGCACGGCCCCGCTCGCACCGGGGACCCCCGGCTGGCCGCGGGGGTGGGGACGGGCCCTGGAGGCAGCGCTGGTTTGTGGCACCGGGGGGGCGGACACGGCGCAGCCACGAGCGAACGGCGGCCGGAGCTGCGGGTCCGCCCCGGTCCCGTTCCCGGTCCCGTTCCCATTCCCGGTCCTGTTCCCGTTCCCGGGCGGCAGCGGCGGGTCCGGAGCCCTTTGCTGGAGCGGGGCCAGGCTGTGCCGGAGGCTGCTGACTCATTCTGCAGCTGAGCATCCCTGGAAAGCCACGGCTCCGCTCCCTCCTCCTCCGGCTCGCTGCGGGCTGCCAGGGCACCTTGGGAGCGGCGTGAGCCACCATCACGTGGAGGGGACAGAAGAAAAACCCCTCCGGAGATGAAAAGGGACATCCACTCTCAGCAGCTCCTGTGCCGAGCCCTGCAGCAGGTGCTGCAGCCCCAGATCCTGCAGGTGCCGCGCTCAAGGAGCCGGCTCGGAAAGCAGGGCCGAGCTCAGGGGAGAAAGGAAGAGCAGCGCTGTCCCAAAATAGATTTCAGCTCCATTTTCCACCTGGTTTCCCACAGAAATGGAGGTTAGCTGGCCCTGCCACGTGCGTGCCTGTGTGTCTGGCTGATCCCGGCAGCTCCTCAGCTCTGAGGTCTCTGGGACAGTTGAGCCTCATGAGTTGCTGCCATGATAATTATTCAACATTTTTGGCTGCTCTTCCCTTGTCCTGCTCTCAGCTTTTCCCTCAGAACTTGTGGGTTGAAAGATTTTCCATTTGTGGCAAACAGAAAAAATACCCAGTGCAAAAATCCAACCCCAAACCTGCAGAAATCCAACCCCAAACCCCAAACCTGACGTCTGAGAGTCTGTGGTCACCATGGGACTCCAGGCGCTGGGGCCATCACCCACGGGCAGGGCGAAACTGCCTTTAACCCTTTCCACACCCCATTCCCAGCGCCAGGAATGGAATGGGCACAGGAGGAGAGCAGACACTCCAGCTTGCCCAATTCCTGTGGAATTTTATCTCTTGGATTTCCTCCCCGGCACTTCAGGGCTGCTGTCCGCGCCACCACGGCGCCTTGGGGACGGGAAGAAAAGGTGCCAGTGACAAAAGCCTTCCTCGCTTGGCTGCCCAGGGGGTGGCACCAGCCCCCGTGCTGGAGCCTGGCCACGGCTGCCACGCAGGAGGGTTTTGTCCCTCGCTCCAGAACCATGGGGCTGCATTCAAAATATCTGTCTGGAGCACAGAAAGCTCCTGGCTTGGCCCTGGCACCACTGGGCAGCTCCTGGGCAATCCAGCTCTGGCTGCTCCTGCTGGGAAGGGGACGTCTGTGGTCTGCCCTGGATGGTCAGTGCCCATGGGGTGTGGTGCCAGGGGCTTTGCGTTGGTGTTAGGAGCTGTGCGTGCATAGTGCCCTGTGCTGTGGGCTGTACACCCATGGTATGTGGTGCCAGGGATGTACATGGTGCCAGGGATGCACATCCGTGGCTCCAGGGACTGTGTACCCCTGGTGTTTGGTGCCAGGGATGTACATCCATGGATCCAGAGGCTGCAAATCCATGGTGTGTGCTGCCAGAGATCTACATCCATGGCTCCAGGGACTGTGTACCCCTGGTGTTTGGTGCCAGGGATGTACATCCATGGCTCCAGGGGCTGTGTGTCCACGGTGTGTGGTGCCAGGGTTCCAGGGACTGTGCACCCATGGTGTGACCTGCCAGGGGCTGTGTGTCTATGGCTCCAGGGGCTGCACATCCCTGGTGTGGAATGCCAGGGTTGTACATCCATGGCTCCACGTGCTGCCCATCCATGGTGTGTGGTGCCAGGGCTCTATGACCATGGTTTCAGGGGCTGCACATCCCTGGTGTGAATGCCAGGGTTGTACATCCATGGCTCCACGTGCTGCCCATCCATGGTGTGTGGTGCCAGGGCTCTATGACCATGGTTTCAGGGGCTGCACATCCCTGGTGTGAATGCCAGGGCTGTACATCCATGGCTCCAGGGACTGTGTACCCATGGTATGTGCTGCCAGGGATGTACATGGTGCCAGGGATGTACATCCATGGCTCCAGGGACTGTGTACCCATGGTATGTGCTGCCAGGGATGTACATGGTGCCAGGGATGTACATCCATGGCTCCAGGGACTGTGTACCCATGGTATGTGCTGCCAGGGATGTACATGGTGCCAGGGATGTACATCCATGGCTCCAGGGACTGTGTACCCATGGTATGTGCTGCCAGGGATGTACATGGTGCCAGGGATGTACATCCATGGCTCCAGGGACTGTGTACCCATGGTATGTGCTGCCAGGGATGTACATGGTGCCAGGGATGTACATCCATGGCTCCAGGGACTGTGTACCCATGGTATGTGCTGCCAGGGATGTACATGGTGCCAGGGATGTACATCCATGGCTCCAGGGACTGTGTACCCATGGTATGTGCTGCCAGGGATGTACATGGTGCCAGGGATGTACATCCATGGCTCCAGGGACTGTGTACCCATGGTATGTGCTGCCAGGGATGTACATGGTGCCAGGGATGTACATCCATGGCTCCAGGGACTGTGTACCCATGGTATGTGCTGCCAGGGATGTACATGGTGCCAGGGATGTACATCCATGGCTCCAGGGACTGTGTACCCATGGTATGTGCTGCCAGGGATGTACATGGTGCCAGGGATGTACATCCATGGCTCCAGGGACTGTGTACCCATGGTATGTGCTGCCAGGGATGTACATGGTGCCAGGGATGTACATCCATGGCTCCAGGGACTGTGTACCCATGGTATGTGCTGCCAGGGATGTACATGGTGCCAGGGATGTACATCCATGGCTCCAGGGACTGTGTACCCATGGTATGTGCTGCCAGGGATGTACATGGTGCCAGGGATGTACATCCATGGCTCCAGGGACTGTGTACCCATGGTATGTGCTGCCAGGGATGTACATGGTGCCAGGGATGTACATCCATGGCTCCAGGGACTGTGTACCCATGGTATGTGCTGCCAGGGATGTACATGGTGCCAGGGATGTACATCCATGGCTCCAGGGACTGTGTACCCATGGTATGTGCTGCCAGGGATGTACATGGTGCCAGGGATGTACATCCATGGCTCCAGGGACTGTGTACCCATGGTATGTGCTGCCAGGGATGTACATGGTGCCAGGGATGTACATCCATGGCTCCAGGGACTGTGTACCCATGGTATGTGCTGCCAGGGATGTACATGGTGCCAGGGATGTACATCCATGGCTCCAGGGACTGTGTACCCATGGTATGTGCTGCCAGGGATGTACATGGTGCCAGGGATGTACATCCATGGCTCCAGGGACTGTGTACCCATGGTATGTGCTGCCAGGGATGTACATGGTGCCAGGGATGTACATCCATGGCTCCAGGGACTGTGTACCCATGGTATGTGCTGCCAGGGATGTACATGGTGCCAGGGATGTACATCCATGGCTCCAGGGACTGTGTACCCATGGTATGTGCTGCCAGGGATGTACATGGTGCCAGGGATGTACATCCATGGCTCCAGGGACTGTGTACCCATGGTATGTGCTGCCAGGGATGTACATGGTGCCAGGGATGTACATCCATGGCTCCAGGGACTGTGTACCCATGGTATGTGCTGCCAGGGATGTACATGGTGCCAGGGATGTACATCCATGGCTCCAGGGACTGTGTACCCATGGTATGTGCTGCCAGGGATGTACATGGTGCCAGGGATGTACATCCATGGCTCCAGGGACTGTGTACCCATGGTATGTGCTGCCAGGGATGTACATGGTGCCAGGGATGTACATCCATGGCTCCAGGGACTGTGTACCCATGGTATGTGCTGCCAGGGATGTACATGGTGCCAGGGATGTACATCCATGGCTCCAGGGACTGTGTACCCATGGTATGTGCTGCCAGGGATGTACATGGTGCCAGGGATGTACATCCATGGCTCCAGGGACTGTGTACCCATGGTATGTGCTGCCAGGGATGTACATGGTGCCAGGGATGTACATCCATGGCTCCAGGGACTGTGTACCCATGGTATGTGCTGCCAGGGATGTACATGGTGCCAGGGATGTACATCCATGGCTCCAGGGACTGTGTACCCATGGTATGTGCTGCCAGGGATGTACATGGTGCCAGGGATGTACATCCATGGCTCCAGAGGCTGTGTGTCCATCGTGTGTTTGGTGCCAGGGATGTACATCCATGGCTCCAGGGACTGTGTACCCATGGTATGTGCTGCCAGGGATGTACATGGTGCCAGGGATGTACATCCATGGCTCCAGGGACTGTGTACCCATGGTATGTGCTGCCAGGGATGTACATGGTGCCAGGGATGTACATCCATGGCTCCAGGGACTGTGTACCCATGGTATGTGCTGCCAGGGATGTACATGGTGCCAGGGATGTACATCCATGGCTCCAGGGGCTGTATATTCATGGTGCATGGTGCCAGGGCTGTATGACCATGGCTCCAGGGGCTGTACATCCCTGGTGTGTGCTGCCAGGGTTGTACATCTGTGGTGCCAGGGGCTGCCCATGCATGGTAACTGCTGCTGGGGTGTGCATGCACAGTGTGTGGTGCCCAGGGCTGCATTCACACCCTCTCCCCTGTGCAGTGGTGCCCTGGGCATGCTTTGGGAACACAGCTTGAGGAGGGACACAGGTGACCAGGGCAGCAGGCCCTGAGATTCCTGCCAGGCTGTGCCTGCAGCCAGCGCCTGGACGTGGCCTAAGCTGCTCCTGTGGCTGCTGAAATCAATACAGTGCAAAGAGCTCATAAATTACAGATCTGCTCCGAGTCCCAGCTGCTCTTTTTCCAGGCAATAGCACGATGCATGCCTGGCACGGGAGGCTGAGGAGCCCCAAGGAGCCTCTGCAGAGGGGTCAGGGAACACTGGAGCAGTGCACCTGGCAGGGACATGTCCCCACATTCCCAACATCAGCCTCCTCTCTGGATGGCTGCAAAGGCAGCAAGACTGCAAGGACACCCAGAGCCCCCCATGACGTGCCTGTCACCCCCTGTGCTGCTCCCCAGAGAGGGCTGGGTGATGGCAGTGCTGGCCACAGGGCTCTCCTTTCAGCAAGGACACCCAGAGCCCCCCGTGACGTGCCTGTCACCCCCTGTGCTGCTCCCCAGAGAGGGCTGGGTGATGGCAGTGCTGGCCACAGGGCTCTCCTTTCAGCACAGGTCCCCAGCCCAGCGGTGAGAGCCCTTTGTGCCAGGCAGCCTGGGAGAGGCAGGGGACATAATGGCTGCTTTGGGCAGCCTGGATTTCCCAGCCCGCGCACGGGGAGGCTCCGGCGTGAGCTGCATGGCAAAGAAGCCGTCCTGCTCCTTCCCTCCCCCTCTGCCCCGGGCTTTGTGTGCTCTGGGCTGTCCCCCCCTGCTCGCTGACCTCAGCTCCCTCCAGGAGCCACCCCTGGCAGGGCACACGTGCACAAAAACACGCACACGCGTGTGCACGCCTGCAGCGTGCAGCAGCACGAGCACACACGTGTGCCCTGCCTGCTCCCTGACCTCCCTCAGCACCTCCTTCCTGACCAAACACCCGCTGAGGTTTCTCACGGTGGCACCACGGGCACACGGCCCTGGCATCGCCTCCATGCCCAGCGCTCGGGCTGGGACCATCTGTGCTGTCCAGGCCAGGCTGGACTCTGCTGTCCCCAGGGGACCCAGCTCCTGGGGAGGGTCAGAGGGGCTGGATGGCACCCAGGGGCTCCCAGCCAGTGCTCCTGGTTGCTCATGTTGTCTTCTTCCTCTTGTGAGCTAGGGCACCTTTTCCTTTCCTTTCCTTTCCTTTCCTTTCCTTTCCTTTCCTTTCCTTTCCTTTCCTTTCCTTTCCTTTCCTTTCCTTTCCTTTCCTTTCCTTCCCGGAACTTCCCTCTTAACTGGGATCTCTAGTTTCTTACTTTTAAAAAGGAAATTATATTGTTTTGGAGAGCAATTCAGTATATTTAAAGTGCTGCTTTCAAAGATGTGCTAAAATGTTGATGAGATCAGTTACTTTTATTACAAATTTTTTGTATTAATTGCCAAGTAAATGCTTCCCTTCCCTTCCCTTCCCTTCCCTTCCCACCACATCCATCACCTGGGGGATCTCCTTGCTCACATCCCCTCCTGCAGGGATGGGAGGTTTTTGGGGTTTTTATGGATTCTGAGCAGAGCTGGTGGTTTTTGCTTCCCCTTGCAGGGCAGAGCATGGCCCCAGCCCTCCCGCTGCTGCTGCTGCTCTGGCTCTTTGTCCCCACGGTGCTCCCGGAGGTGTTTGGCCCTGGAGATGGCACAGGTAGCTCGGCACCACGTGTGCCTGCAGCGGGGTTCTGGGGGTGCCCCTCACGCCCACCCTGCTCACAGCTCCTCTCTCCTCCCACCCAGAGGACCCCAAGGCTCTGCAGGTGTCCATCCCGCGGCACCCAGCCCTCGAGGCCGTGCTGGCAGGCGACATCACCATCCCCTGCCTCATCACCTACCTTGGCCCCCAGCCCACCGCCGGCACTGGCGGCCGCCGCGCCGTCCTGGGGACACCCCGCGTCAAGTGGACCTTCATCTCTGAGGGCAGGGAGGTGGAGATCCTGGTAGCTCGGGGGGACAGGGTGAAGGTGAGCGAGGACTACCGGCTGCGCGCCTCGCTGCCCATCTTCCACCAGCGCTACAGCAACGCCTCGCTGCTGCTCACCGAGCTGCGCCCCAACGACTCGGGCATCTACCGCTGCGACGTGCAGCACGGCATCGAGGACGGCCACGACATCCTGCACGTCAAAGTCAAAGGTACCTCGGGGTGGGGAGAGGGGGCTTGGGGCAGCCTGGGGGGCTTGGGGCAGCCTGGGGGGCTTGGGGCAGCCTGGGGGGCTTGGGGCAGCCTGGGGGGCTTGGGGCAGCCTGGGGGGCTTGGGGCAGCCTGGGGGGCTTGGGGCAGCCTGGGGGGCTTGGGGCAGCCTGGGGCACTTGGGGCAGCCCGGGGCCCTCTCCTGGCTCAGCACGGTGACCTGGGTGTTGTGGCAGGACGAACCCCAGCAGGGGAGTAACGTGCAGTGACTCGAGTGATTTCAGAAGGCTGAATAATTGTTTTATTAAGCAATTGTTTATTAACTAATTGCTTTATGAGCTATTAGTTTATTTAAGCAATTGTTTATTAACTAATTGCTTTATAAACTATTAGTTTATTAGTTTATTAAATAATTGCTTTATAAACTATTCATTTATTAGTCTATTAAATAATTGCTTTATAAGCGATTAGTTTATTAAATAATGGCTTTATTAAGCAGTTTTTTATTAAATAATGGCTTTATTAAGCATGAGTTTATTAAATAATTGCTTTATAAACTATTAGCTTATTAGTTTATTAAATTGCTTTATAAGCTATTAGTTTATTAAACAATTGCTTTATTAAGCAGTTGTTTATTAAATAATTGTTTTATAAGCTATTAGTGTATTAGTTTATTAAATCATTGCTTTATTAAGCAATTGTTTATTAAATAATTGCTTTATAAGTTATTAGTGTATTAGTTTATTAAATCATTGCTTTATTAAGCAATTGTTTATTAATTGCTTTATAAACTATTAGTTTATTAGTTTATTAAATAATTGCCTTATAATAAAATTTTATTATATAATTAATTAATTGTTTTATTAAGCAATTAGTTTATTAAATAATTGCTTTATAAGCACTTAGTGTATTAGTTTATTAAATTATTGCTTTATTAAGCAATTGTTTATTAAATAATTGCTTTATAAACTATTAGCTTATTAGTTTATTAAATTGCTTTATAAGCTATTAGTTTATTAAACAATTGCTTTATTAAGCAGTTGTTTATTAAATAATTGTTTTATAAGCTATTAGTGTATTAGTTTATTAAATTATTGCTTTATTAAGCAGTTGTTTATTAAATAATTGCTTTATAAGCATTTTTATTAGTTTATTAAATAATTTCTTTATTAAGCAGTTGTTTATTAAATAATTGCTTTATAAACTATTAGTTTATTAGTTTATTAAATAATTGCCTTATAATAAAATTTTATTAATTTATTAATTTATTGTTTTATTAAGCAATTAGTTTATTAAATAATTGCTTTATAAACTATTCATTTATTAGTCTATTAAATAATTGCTTTATAAGCGATTAGTTTATTAAATAATGGCTTTATTAAGCAGTTTTTTATTAAATAATGGCTTTATTAAGCATGAGTTTATTAAATAATTGCTTTATAAACTATTAGCTTATTAGTTTATTAAATTGCTTTATAAGCTATTAGTTTATTAAACAATTGCTTTATTAAGCAGTTGTTTATTAAATAATTGTTTTATAAGCTATTAGTGTATTAGTTTATTAAATTATTGCTTTATTAAGCAGTTGTTTATTAAATAATTGCTTTATAAGCTATTAGTGTATTAGTTTATTAAATTATTGCTTTATTAAGCAATTGTTTATTAAATAATTGCTTTATAAACTATTAGTTTATTAGTTTATTAATTTATTAAATAATTGCCTTATAAGCAATTTTTATTAGTTCATTAATTAATTGTTTTATTAAGCAATTCTTTATTAAATAATTGCTTTATTAGCTATTTGTTTATTAGTTTATTAAATAATTACTTTATAAGCATTTTATTAGTTTATTAAATAATTGCTTTATTAAGCATGAGTTTATTAAATAATTGCTTTATAAACTATTAGTTTATTAGTTTATTAGTTTATTAGTTTATTAAATAATTGCTTTATTAAGCAGTTGCTTATTAAATAATTGCTTTATTAAGCCAGAGTTTATTAACTAATTGCTTTATAAGCTATTATAACTATATTGCACTATACTGGACTAATACTAAATAAAAACCCGTGACCTTTTTCTGACAGTCACGACACAGCTTCCACCTAATTGGCCGCTCAATCCCATCACCAGAGCCCAATTAACAAATCCCTTCTGGTCAACAACCCCCAGAACACATTCCGCACGTGCCAAACAGCAGCAGCAGCAAACAGAAACAAGAATTTTTCTCTTTCTTTGAGCTTTCTCACTGCCTTCCCCAGGAGAAACCCCGGGAGGGTTTTGCCTGCTGCTCGCCGTGCAGAGAGCCGCGGCCGCACCCTGGGGGAATTTTGGGGGGCTGCTGTGGAGCCCCTTTCCTGCCGGGGTTGGCTGTTATTTTCTCTGCCCCAGCACGGGAAAAAGGTGGTTCTGGGCAGGCCGTGCTTTCGGAGAAGGAGTCTGGACTCTTGCTTTTGGTCTTCAGTCGAGTTTATTGTTCCTTATCTACAAAGTTTTTCTGTCTGTCCAGCCGAGGTCTGATCAGCAGGACAGCCAAGGGCACTCTCCCCCACCCACGGGGTCTCTTTTATAGTAAAAACTACATATATAACTACATTATACTACATAAATATAAGATATTTACCTTCAATTTCCAACACTTTTCACCCTTGTTGGCAAGTGCACTTTCCCTATGAACCAATCCACACATGCCAACATCATCCTGAACATGGATGCCAAGGAGAAGAAAGAAGAAGGACAGGGCACGCCCAAATCCCTCCATCTTGGGACCCCTGACCCCCATGTACAGAATTTCAAATCCCCCTGTACAACATACAAAACCCCCTGTACAGTGCTCCAAAATTTTTCCCTTCACCCTGTGATTCCTACTTAAACTTTTGTGGCCTGTAGTTCTTCATATAAGGTTGGCGATTTGCTCCATGAATTAAGATGGAATTTCCAGGTGTCTTTGGCTTCCTGCCAGGGTCTCCGAGCCCGTGCCAGGGCTTTGAGACATCCAGGGCATGCAGAGAGATGCTCTGGGTGCCGGCACTTGCCCACGGCCGTGTCTGCCCGCAGGGGTGGTGTTCCACTACCGGGAGGGCTCCATGCGCTACGCCTACACCTTCGCCGAGGCGCAGGAGGCCTGTGCCAGGATCGGTGCCAGCATTGCCACCCCCGAGCAGCTCTACGCCGCCTACCTGGGCGGCTACGAGCAGTGCGACGCCGGCTGGATCGCCGACCAGACCGTCAGGTGGGCACCAAATCTGCCCGGGCGTTGTGCCCGGCGCCTCGCCCGCTCCTTCCCCAGCCACTCACCAGCTCCCCTGTGCTTCCCTGCCCCAGGTACCCCATCCAGACGCCCCGTGAGGCCTGTTACGGAGACATGAACGGCTTCCCCGGGGTGAGGAACTATGGAGTGGTGGACCCGGAGGACATGTATGATGTGTACTGCTACGCTGAGGACCTCCCAGGTGCCCGTGGTGCCACCTCTCGCCCTCCTCTGCTTTTACTCCCACGCTAACTTGCCCCCTAACCCGTTGTAAACCCAAGTGAAAAATCTGCAGGTGTTGTCTCTTGGGTGTGGGGACCTGCTGTGCTGCTTCCTAAAGCATTCCTGTTCCCTTTGGTGGGGTGGGGGGCTCAGTCCCTGGCAGCAGGCAGTGCCCAGGCTGGGCTGTGCCCACGGTGCTCTGCCCCAGACCTGCAGCACGCTGTGTTGGGTGCTTTGGGGTTTGGCTGTGCGTGTGCCGTGCTTTGCATGAGATCCTGCCTGCCTGTGTGTCCCTGGGGGTGGCAGGTCCCTCCTTTGGGGCTCCCCAGGGTGGTGGCAGCTGCTCTGGGGTGGGTTGGTGGTGCCAGGCAGGTGGCAGGGGTGAGGGAGGTGCAGCTGGGGGGGGTTGGTACGTGCTGTGCCCTGGGGCAGCGGTCCCCAGCCCTCCTGAGCGCGAAGCCTCACCCACCCCTCGCTGGGCTCGCAGGTCCCCTCAGAAATGTGCCACGCGTGGATTGCTCAGAGCAGGGCCTGGACCTGCTCCTCTGCAGCCCCGTTCAGAGGTGCTTCAGTTCCCCGCATCTCTGTTGGCAAGGGCAGGGATCATTCCCATGTGGCGTGAGAGCTCCAGCCGTGCCTGCACTGTGGCTTTCTGTGCATGGGCAGGGAGGCAGGGAGGCAGGGAGGCAGGCAAGGAAGCACTCAGGAAGGCAGGGAAGTAGGCAGGGATGCAGGGAAGAAGGCAGGCACTCAGGAAGGCAGGGATGCAGGCAGGGAGGGAAGCAGGGATGCAGGCAGGGATACAGGCAGGGAAGCACTCAAGGAAGCACTCAGGAAGGCAGGAAGCACTCAGGGAAGCAGACAGGGATGCAGGGAAGCACTCAAGGAAACACTCAGGAGGGCAGGGATGCAGGCAGGAAAGCACTCAGGAAGGCAGGAAGCACTCAGGAAGGCAGGAAGCACTCAGGAAGGCAGGAAGCACTCAGCAAAGCAGGCAGGGATGCAGGGAAGCACTCAGGAAGGCAGGGAAGCACTCGGGGAAGCACTCAGGAGGGCAGGGATGCAGGCAGGAAAGCAGACAGGGATGCAGGGATGCAGGCAGGGAAGCAGACAGGGATGCAGGAAGCACTCAGGGAAGCAGGGATGCAGGCAGGGAAGCAGGAATGCAGGCAGGGGTGCAGGGATGTAGGCAGGGAAGCACTCAGCAAGGCAGAGATACAGGCAGGGAAAGCAGGCAGAGATGCAGGGAAGAAGGCGGGCAGGGAGGCACTCAGGAAGGCAGGATGCAGGCAGGGAAGCAGACAGGGATGCAGGAATGCAGGCAGGGAAGCACTCAGGAAGGCAGGGAAGCACTTAGGGAGGCAGGAAGCATTCAGGAAGGCAGCGATACAGGCAGGGAAGCACTCAGGAAGGCAGGGAAGCACACAGGGATGCAGGACTGCAGCCCCCGAGGCGGATGGGTGCAGGAATGGAGGGATGCAGGCAGGGAAGCAGACAGGGGTGCAGGGATGCAGGCAGGGAAGCACTCAGGAAGGCAGGAAGCACTCAGGAAGTCAGGGAAGCACTAGGAGAAGCACTCAGGAGGGCAGGGATGCAGGCAGGGAAGCAGACAGGGATGCAGGGATGCAGGCAGGGAAGCAGACAGGGATGCAGGAAGCACTCAGGGAAGCAGACAGGGATGCAGGCAGGGAAGCACTCAGGAAGTCAGGGAAGCACTCAGGAAGGCAGGGAAGCACTCAGGAATGCAGCCCTCCAGCCCCCGGTGTGCCTGCACACACCTCAGCCTCCATCTCCACACCCGCTCCTGGGCTCACGCAGTGAGTGGAGCAGCTGAGGGGGCTCCCTCCGCCCTTGCCCCCCATCCCATCTCTGACTCCCCTTCCTCTCTCCCCAGGGGAGATCTTTCTGGAGACGGCCCCGGACAGGTTCACGCTGGAGGAGGCGGCGCAGCGCTGCCGGGCGCTGGGCGCGGAGCTGGCGAGCCCGGGGCAGCTGTACGCAGCCTGGAACGCGGGGCTGGACGCCTGCAGCCCCGGCTGGCTGGCCGACGGCAGCGTCCGCTACCCCATCGTCACCCCCCGCGAGCGCTGCGGAGGGGCTCTGCCCGGCGTCAAAACCATCTTCCTCTTCCGAAACCAGACGGGATTCCCCGACGCCCAGAGCAGATACGATGCCTACTGCTTCCGAGGTAAAGAGGGGCACCCCCCGCCCGCCGGTGCTGCCGAGCAGGGAGCGGTGGGAGGCCTGGGGAAGCCCCCGGGGTGGGGGTGCGTGTCCCCGGGGGTGCGCCGGGGTCCCTGGGTGCTCTCGGTGCCGGTGCTGCGCTGTCGGGGCAGGGCAGGGGTGTTTGGTGCAGCCTGCTGGGCTGGGACAGGGATGCCTTGCATGCCGATAGGCCTGAGAGGGGAGGCATAACCTGCATGGTGCTGACGCTGCGCGCTGACACCTCGATGCTCTGCATGATCCTGACACTGCATGCTGACAGCTCTCAGTGCAGCAGGGAGGCTCTGAGGGTCCCAGCAGTGCCTGCTGACTCAACATTCCCAGCTGTGCATGGTCTCAATGCTGCCGGGATGCTCTGCATGGCTCCAGCAGTGCATGCTGATACCTCTCAGTACAGCAGGGATGCTCTGCATGGTCCCAGCAGTGCATGCTGACAGCTCTCAGTGCTGCAGGGATGCTCTGCATGGTCCCAGCAGTGCATGCTGACAGCTCTCAGTACAACAGGAATGCTCTGCATGGCTCCAGCAGTGCATGCTGACAGCTCTCAGTGCTGCAGGGATGCTCTGCATGGCTCCAGCAGTGCATGCTGACAGCTCTCAGTACTGCAGGGATGCTCTGCATGGCTCCAGCAGTGTATGCTGACAGCTCTCAGTGCTGCAGGGATGCTCTGCATGGCTCCAGCAGTGCATGCTGACACGCTGTGGCAGAGCAGGGTGGCCCTGCATGTCCTCAGCCCCTGGTGCCAGTTTACTGTGGCAGAGCAGGGCTGTCCTGCACGGGCTCCGTGGGCACGGCTCCAGGAGGGTTCATCCCCAGGGCTGCAGGCCTGGGGACACTCCTGGGTCCCTGGGCTGTGGGGCACAGCCTGCCAGGCTCTTTGGGGTGATGGTGGGCAGGAAGGAGAGCTGTGGGGAGCAGCAAGGCGCTGTCTGTGAGCAGTGAGGCAGGACAGAGGCTGGCAGGGATAACGGGCACAGGAGGAAGCAGAGCTGTCCCTCCACCACTCCTGCCTGACCCCACATCTCTGTGTGTCTGCTCAGGGCCACGGGGCTCACAGCACGGGGATGCTGAGCATCTCTGGGCCTCAGTTTCCCCATCTCTCAGCAGGGCAAGCCTGGGTTAGGCAGGATGGACCCGTGCCGTGATTCCACAACCCCTGTAACCCACTAACCCCCCATGCATGCCTGCCCTCCCCGGGTTGGGGATGGGGTGCAGAGGAGGATCCCCACAGGGAGGGGAGTGCAGGGTTTAGGATCTGGCCCCACCACGTGCTGCTGAGCCCCACAGCTCCTGCTGGGGCTGTTGGCTCTGCCTGGCAGGGCTTGATCCTCCCCATGCTGACCCCATCTAGAAGGGGAAGGGGAGCCTGGGTCCCTAGAGGGGTACCAAGGCTCCAGGCCTGCTGTGGGGTGAGCTCATCTCTGAGTGCTGCGGAGCCAGGACAGGGCAGTAATATCCCACTTTCTTTCTGCCCACAGAAGTGACAAACTCTTTCCCTGAGGCTGCAGGAAAATACCAAGGCCAAGAGCCCGAGGAGAATCTCCTCCAGGAGATTGTCACAGTGGCAGAAAAGCTGGAGGAGCTGCAGCTGCCCCGAGCGCACGAGGAGCTCGAGTCGCGAGGGGCGATTTACGCCGTCCCTTTCTTTGAGGACCCTGACCTGGGCAAGCCGAGCCAGTCCCCTGAAGACACCCTGGGGCCAGGGGCCCGGCACCCCCCCCTAGCTCCCTCCGTGTCCTCAGGTCACCCCACCTCGCCTCCCCTTCCCCCAGAGCCCTGGCCAGCCCCGAGGCAGGTGTCCCCTTGAAGCTGGGGATCCCATCCCTTGTGGAGGAGGATGGGGGACAGCGGGGACTGTCCCTCTCTGGAAGGTCCAGCAGCTGCTGTGCTGCTGCCAGGGCTGGGGCGCAGGGAGCAGCCACAGAAGGGAGGCACGAGGAGAGGGCAGAGGCACCCGAGGGTGCCTGGGCCACCCCAGCTGTCCCCGTCCTTCCCCCACGGATGGGGCGCCGTGTCTTGGTGTAGGGCTGTGCAGGGCCAAGGGGACATCGGCGTGTCCCAGCGTGCAGGGCCTGCTCTGGAGCAGCTGCAGCAGCGCCAGGGGCTGCAGAAGGGAGCTGGCAGCTGCAGGGACACGAGCTGCAGTGGCGAGGGGCTGAGCTCAGTCAGTGGTGCCGGCGCGGAGGGGACAGTGGCACACGGGCTCGGGACAGTGGCACACGGGCTCGGGGCCGCTCCCATCTCCCCGCACACCTCGGTGCGAGCAGGATGGGCACTGCTGGCGGCTGCCCTGCGGTCGGGCCGGCTCCCGGCGCTCACTGCCTTTCTGCCTTGCCCTTTGCAGAGGAGGAGCAGGGAGCAGCGCCGGGCGGGGGCCCTGGCAGCGCATCGGCCGAGAGCCCGGGCGGAGCGCGACACCCCGGGCAGCCCACGGAGCCAGAGGGACCCACCGGTGCCCCAGCAGGTGACACGGAGCCTCCCGAGGGCTTTCCTCGTCCGCCCAGCCCCGCCGCCCCCGCAGAGCGCCCAGCCCGTCCGCGGGACGCCTTGGGGCGGCCGGCCCACCCTGCCAGCCCTGGGCCACCTGGGCACCGAATGACACCGCCAACCGCTGCCCCTTCTGCCACCTCGACAGAGAGCCGGGAAGCCGCTGGGAGCCCCCGCCGAGGGCACAAGTCCGGCGGGGCGAGCACCCCGTTTTCTGCCGCGGAGGACGCCGAGCTCTCCGGGGACGTGGTGGAAAGCCCTGCGGCATCCCCGCTGCCTGCCGCGCCCTCGCAGCCGCAGGACGAGGGGGACGAGCAGTCGGGAGCCGCGTGGATCCCCTCGCCCGCCGCCCCCGGGCAGCGGAGCACTGTCCCCGCGGTGACACCGCGGCTCGCAGAGCTGCCCGGCAGCAGCAGCAGCAGCGCACCGGCCCTGCCAGGAGGGGAGGATGCACCGCCGGGCACGGACAGAGGGATGCCTGCTGCGGCTTCCGAGGAAGAGGAGGAGGAGGAGGAAGAGCCGCCTGCTCCCTCCGTTGCCACCGTGGAGGGTTTCCTGGCGGCCGTTCCGGGAGAAGCAGGTGGGACCCGCAGGGATGGCCTCAGCTCTGCCCGGCCTGGCACCCCCGGGGTGGTGCTGCCCGGGACCCCGCGGGGGGAGCCAGCCCCCAGCACGGCCGTGCCCCTGCCCGTGCTGCCCACCGAGCGGGCCAGCGTCGGGGCGGGCGCCTGCTCGGCCCGTGGTCCCTGCCGCGCCACCCTTGCCCTCGGGGCAGCCGTCCTGGCCGCTCTGTGGCACTAGAGATAGCCAACACCTTTCCTTCACGCTGTGCTTCCCTCTGTCTGTCTGTCTGTCCGTGTCTCCTCTCTCTCTCTCTCCTCCTCAGCTGGGTAAGGGAAGGTTACAGGTCTGGAGAAGCACATATTTGTCAAACAAATTGGTCTGATCTCTGCATGCACTTAAATCTCTTCTACTTCTGTGAAGTGTTTTAATGACTGTTTCCATGAAAAAGCCCGATAAGCAAGAGGCGGCCCCAGTCCCTGCTCCGACTAACCGTGGTACTAATAAAGGGAATTAAAAGCTTTGTAGAACAAGCATCTCGGCGAGCTCTTCCCTTCGTCCTTGCGCCTGCTCCCCTGCGCCTCTCCCACTGACGAACTAATCCCCGCCCCCGGCCCTGCCACCCCCGGGAATGGGGTGGGAGGGACCCCCGGGGGGTCTGCCAGGGCTGGGGCTGCTTTGCACCCTCCGTGTGGCCCCCCAGGACTGACCCTGCGCTGCCCTGGGGGGAGGGCTGAGGGCTGGACGCTGCATGGCACGAGCAGGGGGACACCTGGGGGACACTGGTGGGTCACGGGGCGCAGAACCCCACCAAGGCCTCCCCGCCCTGTGCAGCTCTCAGCAGACACCCTAAAATCACTGCAGAACCCCCGGAGCACATCCCCCACCCCACCCACGGGGGCTGAGAGGGGTGAGCAGAGGGAACACGAGCTGCTGTGGGTGGGTGGGTGTCACCCCCCAGCCCCACTCTGCCCCTCCGGGGTGATCCCAGCTCTGGTGCCCATCCTGCTGCCAATCCCCTGCCACCTCTGCCCCATCCCGCTCCCTGCAAGGGAATCTGCAGCAGAGGGCACGTGTGGGGTCCCTGCCCCCCAGCTCCATGGCACAAAGGGGGCTCTGTGGAGGGCGGCCAGACCCCGTGGGGTGGCTGCCTTTGCCTTGGCAAGGAGAGGTGCCCAGGAAGAGGCAGCCATGTGACATTAGGGCCCTGGATCCCCCATCCTGATCCCTTCCTCGCTCTGCTGGGCGTGAGCTGCACACCCCGAGGGAGCCACCAGCACCTCGTGGGGAGGTGACACTGCCTGGACAGGGGCGAGGGTGGCAGCATCACTCTTGTCACAGCTCCACGAGCTGAGCACCATAAAATGGGGCACGATTAAGCTGGAGTGGGTCAAGGACTTTGAGTTTGCTGGCAGCAGCCCTTCATCACGCTCTGAGGCGGGCTGGGAGCACACGCTGTGCTCCGGGGGCATTAATGACCGTAACGGGCTCGTGGGCAAGAGCTGGCTGAGTTATCAGCCTTGGCCAGGCTGGAGGTGACACCAGAGGGACAGGCCTGCAGTCACCTGGCTGCCAGGCCAAGGACACGTGGCTGGGATGTGCCAACAGCCTCATGGTCTGCGTGCTTCCCTCCCAAAAACTGCAGGGAAAAGCAGGAGCTGGCCTGGGCAGAGGGAGCGGGCCAGGGGCTGGCGTGGCAATGAGCCCAGTGAAGGGGAGATAAGAGCATCCAGCTCTCATCTCCCTGCTCCAGGGGAGGCCAAATCCCCAGGTCTGGCCAGCTCTGGGCCAGGGCTGCTGAGCTGGTCACAGCCAGGGGTGGAAGGGTGGTGTGGGATTGCTGCAGGCATGTCCTGGTGCACCTGAGACCTTCCCCTGCCCCAGAGCTGGTGGCCCTGGGAGCCAGCTGCTGTGGGACACTGCAGGGATGAGGCTGTTGAGGGATGGAAGGAAAGATTCCAGTCTCCAGGTGCATCAGAAGGCTCTGTTTGATGAGAGTAGCGGGTCTTTTTTAATGTGACTCGCTAAGGTGATTGGTCTCAAATTAGAAACATCTCACATTATTGGTGAGCTCAGAATTAGAAACACCTAACTGAAACCAGAAACATCTCACGCTGTTGGTGACTATGAATAGCACACTGAGGAGAGCCATAACTATAAACAATGCTTACAGAAAGGGAGATAATAATTGTTTGAGTTCTTTCCTCTAAGATTCCCAGGCTCAGCCTGGGAGAAATCCTCTCTGTCCTTTCTTGGGCTGAGCTGAGAATCCCCACGAGGCTGTGGCGCTGCTGGGCACTGAGGAGCTGCTGTGCCTTGCAGGTGGCTGTGTCCCCAACCCCTGCCTGAACGGAGGGACCTGCGTGGAGGACGGAGCCCAGCTCACCTGCCTGTGCCTGCCCGGCTACGGAGGCAGCAGCTGTGAGAGACGTGAGTGCCCTGGGGCCAGCCTGGCCCCGCTCTGCTCCGAGACACAAACCAGGGCCAATCAGAGCTGGGGGCGAGCTGGGCTCCGTGCTGACCCTCTCCTCTGTCCCCTGCTGGGCTCAGCCCTGCGGAGCTGCAGCCCCGGCTGGGACAGCTTCCAGGGCGCCTGCTACAGGCACTTCTCCACCCGGAGGAGCTGGGAGGATGCAGAGAGCCAGTGCAGACACTACGGGGGGCACCTGGCCACCATCCTGACCCCCGAGGAGCAGGACTTCATCAATGGTATGTGACGGTGCTGCACCCCTCCCTCCCTCCCCGTGCCCTTCAGGGACCTGCTGTGCTGTGGGTTTGACGCATGGCAGAGCTCAGCCCTGCAGGGCTGAACGGACACACGGACATGTGAGAACACGGATGGATCATGCACAGTCATGGGAACAGAGAGGTTCAGCCCTTGAGGGGCTGGAGAGTGTCCTGAGAAGGGGACAGAGCAGGGGAAGGGACTCTGGAGAACCTGAGAGAGCTCAGGGGGGCTCAGCCTGGAGAAAAAGAGGCTCAGGGGGGACCTTCTCACTTTTTAGAGTTCCCTAAAAGGAGGGTGGAGTCACTTGGGGGTCGGGTTCTGCTCACACCTTTCTACAGCTCTGGAGAGTGTCCAGAGAAGGGAACAGAGGTGGGGAAGGGACACCAGGAGGAGCTGAGGGAGCTCAGGGGGGCTCAGCCTGGAGGAAAGGAGACTCAGGAGGGACCTTCTCAATTTTACAGCTCCCTGAAAGGAGGGTGGAGTCACTTGGGGGTCGGGTTCTGCTCCCAGGGAAAAAGGAACAGGACCAGAAGAAGCTGCACCAGGGGAGGGTTAGGTTGGATATTGGGAAAATTGGATATTGGGAAAATTCCTCCAGGAGAGGGAGGAGGGACTGCACAGGGGAGTCCCCATGGCTGAAGGGATTTAAGGGAGCTGTGGATGTGGCACTTGGGGACAGCGGTGGCCCTGGCTCTGGGGGAGGTTGGACTCAATGGCCTTGCAGGTCTTTTCCAACAAAATCCCACAATCCAGTGACGGGTGGACAGACCAGCAGAGGAGGGGTGGGTGTGTGCTCATAAATCTGAAGGCAAAGCCACAACCTGCCTGAAATCAGCCTGGGAGGGGTGGGGGAAGGCAGAGGGAGGCAGAGCAGGGGACAAGAGCCGTGGGAAGGGGACAGAGGGCAAGGAGGCCTGAAGGAACAGGAGGGTGGAGGAGGAAGGGGCAGGAGAAACCTCCCAGGAAGCTGCGGGGACACGAAGGGACAGGCAGGGACTGGCTGGACCAGAAAAGGGACTGGTAGAGCCAGGTGGAGACTGATGCAGACAGATGGGGACTTGTAGGGACAGGTGGGGCCAGGTGGGGACTGGCAGGGCCAGGTAAGGACCAGCAGAACAAGGTGGGGACAAGTGGGCACAGGTGAGGGCCAGCGGGGAGACACTGGGACCTGCAGGGACGGGTGAGAACCAGCAGGGCCAGGCAGGGACTGGCAGGGCAAGGTGGGGACCTGCAGGGCGAGGTGGGGACCAGGAGGGACAGGTATGGACCTGCAGGGCCAGTTGAGGACTGGCAGGGTCAGGTATGGACCTGCAGGGACAGGCGGGGACTTGCAGGGACAGGCGGGGACCGGCAGAGCCAGGTGGGAACAGGCAGGGACAGGTGGGGACAGGCGGGGACAGGTCGGGACAGGCGGGGACAGGCGGGGACAGGCGGGGACAGGCGGGGACAGGCGGGGACAGGCGGGGACAGGCGGGGACAGGCGGGGACAGGCGGGGACAGGCGGGGACAGGCGGGGACAGGCGGGGACAGGCGGGGACAGGCGGGGACAGGCGGGGACAGGCGGGGACAGGCGGGGACAGGCGGGGACAGGCGGGGACAGGCGGGGACAGGCGGGGACAGGCGGGGACAGGCGGGGACAGGCGGGGACAGGCGGGGACAGGCGGGGACAGGCGGGGACAGGCGGGGACAGGCGGGGACAGGCGGGGACAGGTCGGGACAGGCAGGGACAGGTCGGGACAGGCGGGGACAGGAAGGGACAGGTGGGGACAGGTCGGGACAGGCGGGGACAGGCGGGACAGGCAGGGACAGGCGGGTCCCGAGGCTCTGCCGCCCTCTCCCGGCCGGCCCTGTCTCGCCTCCCCGGGGGTGAAGGGGTTCCCCGATGTCCCTTTCGGGTGTCCCCAAACCTCCCAGCACCTTCCCGCTGCAGGGCGAGGGGCACCCCCACCTCCCACTCCCAAATCTCCCTGAACTCAGCCTCCAGCAGCCGCTCAGCCCCCCCGGCAGGTGACACCTGGCTGTGTCCCTGTCCCCAACCCACCCCGTGTCCCCCAGACCAGTACAGGGAGTACCAGTGGATCGGCCTGAACGACCGCACCATCGAGGGCGATTTCCAGTGGTCCGACGGCAGCCCCTTGGTAAGTGGGGTGCCAACCCCTGTGTGCCCTCAGAGGGGGGCACCGGCCCGCCTGGCACCTCATCATCCTCGGGGTTCAGCCCCGGGGCTGGGCTTTGAGGCTCCCAAAGCGGAGCTGATCCCTCAGGGCAGCCACACCCGGGCTTTGGGGTCCCTCCAAGGGACCACCTGGTACCTGGCGGGGTGTGCTGGATGCCCCGCGCACCCCGTGCCGCCTGTGCCCGCAGCTCTACGAGAACTGGCACCCCGGGCAGCCCGACAGCTACTTCCTCTCGGGGGAGAACTGCGTGGTCATCGTGTGGCACGACGGGGGCCAGTGGAGCGACGTGCCCTGCAACTACCACCTGTCCTACACCTGCAAGATGGGGCTGGGTAAGCCGTGCCACCCCCAGCCCAAAGAGGGGCAGCGAGTCCACCCTCAGCCTTTTGGGGTTTATGCAATGATGTGACCCCTCCCTGCAGTGCAGTGCGGGCCCCCCCCGGCCCTCAGCAACGCCCTGGCCTTCGGCAAAGCCAGGCAGCGCTACGAGATCGGCTCCACCGCCCGCTACCGCTGCCGGCCCGGCCTCGCCCCGCGCCGCTCGCCCGTCATCCGCTGCCGGGAGGATGGCACATGGGAGCCGCCCCAGCTGGCCTGCCGTCCTGGTGAGTGGTGGCACCCCTCCCCAGGACCCCCCTGTGGGGCTTTGCATTCACCCGGTGCTTCTTGTGTCCCCCCAGGTGTGGCTCAGCCCCCCGAGGAGTGAGGGAGTGTCGGGGTGGGGGGCAGCACGGCCCCGAGCCCCGGGCTGGTGTGGATGGGGACGGCGCTGGGAGCTCGGGGTGTGGAGTGAAGCCTCGCTGCTGGGTGTCTGCCCCATTGTGTGTTTGATATCTGTACAAAGAAATGCTAAAAAATTAAAGAGTCCCATGAAAGGAGCCCCAAAATGCAGCACAGCGGGAGTTTTGTCCCCCAGAGCCACAGCAGAGCTGAAATCCAGGGGGGCACCACGGGCAGGGGGTGGCACTGAGGTGCCAGCATCACCCCCAGCCACCTTCTCCCTCCCGGGGACATCCGGGCTGTGCTGCAGCTCAGCACCCACGCAGGGGGGTGGGGGGGATCCTGCACTTCCCTGGGAAGCAGAAGCTGCTGCTGCAGGCTTGGAGTGGGCACGTGCTGCCCAAAAACCCTCTCTGTGCTTTGTGGGTATTAAAACCGGGAAACGGATGGCACAGAGTGGTGACCTGGTTATTTGGGGGGTGCCTGGCACGGGGGTGGCACTGGCACAGCCCCAGAGGGTGGAGGGTGGCAGCAGTGGAGAGCCTGGGCACAGGGACACCCCAGGAGCACAGAAACAGGGGGGAAACACCCCAAAGTCCCATCACATCCCAGAGACAGCCCAGGAGCCACAGAAAAAGGGAGAAACCTCCCAAAAGTGCTCCCACATACCAGAGACAGCCCCGGGAGCCACAGGAACACAGAAAAACCATCCAAAGTGCCCCCACATCCCAGCAGAGCTGGGCACAGAGACACCCCAGGAGCCACAGAGACAGTTCCCACATCCCAGAGACACCCCAGGAACCTCAGAAACAGGGATAAACCACCCCAGAGTGCCCCCACATCCCACAGACACCTCCAGGAGCCACAGAAATAGGGACGAATAACCCCAGAGTGTTCCCACATCCCAGCAGAGCTGGGTCCCACTCAGGGCTTGGGACGGGACACTGCTCCCAGGAAATAGGTGGCACTGGGAGGGCACATCCCTGGTGCCAGGGCACTCCCCGCGCTGTTTTGTCCCTGCTCTGTGGTGATCCACAGATTTTTATCGCTCTCTTGGGCTGGGCTGAGCAGCAACGCCCATGAAACCCTGGAGTGGAGTGGCCAGAGCACAGATAACCCTGGAGAGGGCGCTGGGGGTGGAAAATCCCTGCCAAATTCCCCTCCCGGAGAGTGCCAGGGAAGGAGCCAGGCAAGCCCCCCGTGGGCCTTTGCCAGAGAGTTTCGCTGTTGCTTTATTAATTGAGAAGGCAACACGCAATTAGTGCCGCTCGTTAGTGCCCAGCCCGTGCCCAGCAGCAGGCAGAGCTCCTGGGCAGAGCCCCCCAGGCAGGGACCCCCAGGCAGAGCCCCCATGGGTGTGGGAGCGAGGATGGAGCCAGGGATTCACCAGGGTGGGCAATGGGCAGCCTGGGCTGGCTGTGGGGGGGCTGCATTGGACCCCCCATCCTGGCCCAGCAGCGGGTCTGGTCCTCCAGTACATCCCAAACACCCCACAAGGTGTCCCAAACACCCCACAGAATGTCCCAAACACCCCATGAGATGTCCCAAACACCCCACAAGGTGTCCCAAACACCCCACAGAATGTCCCAAACACCCCACAAAGTGTTCCAAACACACCACAATGTGTCCCAAACACCCCACAAAATGTCCCAAACACCCCATGAGATGTCCCAAACACCCCACAAAATGTCCCAAACACCCCACAAAGTGTTCCAAACACACCACAATGTGTCCCAAACACCCCACAAAGTGTTCCAAACACCCCATGAGATGTCCTAAACACCCCACAAGATGCCCCAAACACCCACTGGGAGTCCCAAACTCCCCACAAACCTCATGGGGTGGGACACGGGCACCCTCTCCATCAGGGGAACCCACACCCAGCTCTACCAGAGGATGCACAAACCCGCTGGGACACCACCCACCCCTCCTGCCCACCCCAGCTCTCTGCCCAGGTGGTGAAGACCAATGTCCCACCGCTGTCCCCTCTGCCAGCCCCGTGTCCTCACTTCCCCACAAAGCCCCCACAGGGAGTTCTAAACACCCCACAATGTGTCCTAAACACCCCATGGGGAGTCCCAAACACCCTGTGTGTCCCAAATACCCCATGAGGAGTCCCAAACACCCCACAAAGTGTTCCAAACACCCCACTGGGAGTCCCAAACACCCCACAAGCCTCATGGGGTGGGACACAGGCACCCTCTCCATCAAGGGATGTACCAAGAACCCACACCCAGCTCTACCAGAGGATGCACAAACCCGCTGGGACACCACCCACCCCTCCTCCAGCTCTCTGCCCAGGTGATGACTGGCATCCCACCGCTGTCCCCTCTGGCAGCCCCGTGTCCTCACTTCCCCATGAAACCCCCACAGGGAGTTCTAAACACCCCACGATGTGTCCTAAACACCCCATGGGGAGTCCCAAACACCCCACAAAGTGTTCCAAACACCCCACAAGCCTCATGGGGTGGGACACGGGCACCCTCTCCATCAAGGGATGTACCAAGAACCCACACCCAGCTCTACCAGAGGATGCACAAACCCGCTGGGAGACCACCCACCCCTCCTGCCCACCCCAGCTCTCTGCCCAGGTGAAGAGGACCGGCATCCCCCTGCTGTCCCCTCTCCCAGCCCCATGTCCTCACTTCCCCACAAAGCCCCCACAGGGAGTTCTAAACACCCCACGATGTGTCCTAAACACCCCACAAGGAGTCCCAAACACCCCACAAAGTGTTCCAAACACCCCACAAGCCTCATGGGGTGGGACACGGGCACCCTCTCCATCAAGGGATGTACCAAGAACCCACACCCAGCTCTACCAGAGGATGCACAAACCCGCTGGGACACCACCCACCCCTCCTCCAGCTCTCTGCCCAGGTGATGACTGGCATCCCCCCGCTGTCCCCTCTGGCAGCCCCGTGCCCTCCCTCACTTGCCCACGAAGCAGTAGGTGCCGTAGGTCCTCATCTCCTTGCTGGGGAAGCCGAAGCTGCGCACGCCGGGCTCGGGCAGGCCGCCGCAGCGCTGCCGGGGCGTGGTGATGGGGTAGCGCACGCTGCCGTCCGCCAGCCAGCCCCCGTCGCAGCGGTCCAGCTGCGAGAACTTCCAGGCCGAGTAGAGCTGGCCCACCTTGGCCAGGGCAGCCCCGTGGCTGCGGCACGCCTGGCCCGCCTCCTTGAAGTTCAGGTGGCCCCGGATGAAGTAGACCTGGCCTGGGGGATGGGAAGGATGCAGGTGAGCATCCTTCCTGCAGGCTGTCACTGTCGTATTTCCTGAAAAAATCTCTTTGCCCAGGATTTTTCTCCTGGGAAGCTGAGAGGCCTCAGAGAAAAATGGAAACAATATTATCTGATTTGCTTCTCCTGTGTTTTGCTGCTTGGGAATGTGATTTGGACATTGTTTACCAACAGGTGATTGTTTCATTAGTTTCATGTAAATTGTTTTTACTTAACGGCCAATCACAGCTGAGCTGTGCAGGGGCTCTGGAGAGAGTCAGGAGTTTTTCATTATTGTCTTTTTAGCCTTCTGTCTGTATCCTTTCTGTATTCTTTAGTATAGTTTAGTATCGCTTTAGTATAGCATTCTTTAATATAATATAGATGCATATAATAATATAATATATATTTATAATATACATAATATATTATAATATATATCTATATAGAATAGAATAGAATAGAATAGAATAGAATAGAATATATAAATAATACATTATTAATATATAATAGATTATAATATAATCTATAATATATTATAAAATAATATATACTATATTATAATATAATATAGTATATATATTATACATATTTATATAATATATACAATATATTGTATATATTTATAATATATTATATATCATAATAGATATATATAATATATAAAATAATAAATTAGCCTTCTAAGAACATGGAATCAGATTCATCATTCCTTCATCCATCTGGAAACCCCACAAACACAAGAACCACCCCGCTGCAGCTCCCCGCAGGGCTCGGGGGCGCCGTGAGCAGCGCGGGGGAGCTGAGCGCTACCTTGAAGGGCAGAGGTGAAGCAGAAGGCATCGAATCTGTCCCTCTGCTTGTCCCTGGCGCCGTAGGTGCGCACGCCGGGCAGGAGCAGGCGGCCGCCGCACGGCTCCCGCGAGTTGATGATGGGGTAGTGCACGGTCCCGTCCAGGATCCAGCCCGCGTTGCACCAGTCCAGCCCCTCCGTCCAGGCTGTGGGGCGAGAGGCAGCTCAGCCCTGGCCTCACCGTGAGATTTTTGTGACAAAGCCTCTGCCAGGATTTTCTCCTGAGAAGCTGAGGAGCCTCAGAAAAGAAATGTAAACAATAACTGTGTGATGGCTGTGGAACGCGGGCTGGAGGTTGTCTCCAACAGGTGCATCTTTCATTGGTCTCATGTGAGATGTTTTTACTTGTTAACCAACCATGGTCCAGCTGAGTCAGACTCCCTGTCTGTTATGACTTTTTATTATTCATCCTTCCCTTCCCTTCCCTTCCCTTCCCTTCCCTTCCCTTCCCTTCCCTTCCCTTCCCTCTTCTGATGAAATCCTTTCTCTATTCTTTTTAGTATAGCTTTACTATAGCACTTTTAAATAATAATAATAATTTTAATAATAATAATAATAATAAATATAAATAATAAATCAGCCTTCTAAGAAATATGGAGTCAGATTCATCTCTTCCCTCATCCTGGGACCCACGAACACAACGACCCCCTGGCGCTTCCCTCCTCCCCATCCCCAGGCAGGCGTGGTTTTGGGCTGAAGAGGAGTTTTTCTTGCTTCACCTTTGTACAGCTGCTGGTAGGTGGCGAGGCGGGAGTCCTGCTGCTCGCAGGCTCGCTTGGCTTCGTGGTAGTTGAATTTGTAGCGCCCGTTGCTGGGCTGGTAAGGGAAGACGACGCCTGGAGGGACAGAGACGGGGTGAGGGCAATGCTCCCCCCAAGGAGGCTTTGACCCAACAGCCCTGGGGGCTCTGTGCTGAATTTAAGACTCAGGGATGGTGATGCAGTGGGGATGGAGGCACAGAGCCACACGCTCCATTCCAGCTGTGTTCCCCTCCTGCCACATCCCCCAGGGATGTGCTGTAGTGGCCACAGGGCCTGCAAGGTCTCCCTGATGGTCAGTGACCCAGGATAAGAAATGCCCAGTCATGGTGAGTGGACCAAGAGACCCCTCTGCCACCTCAGACCCTCGTTGTCTCTCTGTAAGACCATAGGTCATGTCCACCTCAATCCTTATTGTTGGACTGTTTCCCAAAACCCCCATACCCTATATAAACACCCACTTCTGCCCCGTTCAGCAGAAGAGCTGTCACTGTGACCCTTCGAAGGAGCTGTCAATAAAGTCACCTCTGTGGAACCTCACACAGCTCTTCTCCTCTCTCATCCCTGAGTCTGCTGAGGCACTTAGCAAGCAAAGAGCTGAATCCACCCAAGAGCTGAATCCACCAAAGAGCTGGATCCACCAAAGAGCTGAATCCACCAAAGAGCTGGATCCACCAAAGAGCTGAATCCACCCAAGAGCTGGATCCACCAAAGAGCTGGATCCACCAAAGAGCTGGATCCACCAAAGAGCTGAATCCACCAAAGAGCTGGATCCACCAAAGAGCTGAATCCACCAAAGAGCTGGATCCACCAAAGAGCTGGATCCACCAAAGAGCTGGATCCACCAAAGAGCTGGATCCACCAAAGAGCTGGATCCACCAAAGAGCTGGATCCACCAAAGAGCTGAATCCACCAAAGAGCTGAATCCACCAAAGAGCTGGATCCACCAAAGAGCTGGATCCACCCAAGAGCTGATCTCACTTAAGAGCTGAGCTGCTTGCTAAGATTGCCTGCGGCTGGGAGCCTGCCTGAGGGACCCAGACAGGTTGTGCTTAGCTGGATTTCACTATCCAGACACCTACAGCAGACAGGATCAGAGACCCTGAACCCCCAGACTGTTATAATGCACCCCAAGCTCAGCCTCGAGGTGCAGCATGAGGAAGATGCCCTTATTCTCCAGCCCGTTGATGAGCTGCCAACATTAGCACCCCTCATCCCCAGGGATGATCCCAATCTCACCCTCGAGGTGCAGTGTGAGTGAGATGCTCTCATCCTCCAGCTCGCTGACCACCTGGCAGAGTTAGCACCCCTCATCCCCAGGGATGATCCCAAGCTCACCCTGAGGTGCAGCATGAGGAAGATGCCCTTATTCTCCAGCCTGCTGACCAGCTGGCAGCGTTAGCACCCCTCATCCCCAGGGGTGATCCCAATCTCACCCTCGAGGTGCAGTGTGAGATACTCTCCTCCTCCAGCCCATTGATGAGCTGGCAGCGTTAGCACCCCTCATCCCCAGGGATGATCCCAATCTCACCCTCGAGGTGCAGTGTGAGATACTCTCCTCCTCCAGCCCATTGATGAGCTGGCAGCGTTAGCACCCCTCATCCCCAGGGATGATCCCAAGCTCAGCCTCGAGGTGCAGCGTGAGCGAGATGCTCTCATCCTCCAGCCCGTTGACCAGCTGGCAGCGGTAGCGCCCCTCGTCCTCCAGCGCCACGTCGGTGATGGTGAGCGAGGCGTCGTAGCGGTGGCTGTGCCGCAGGCGCACCCGCGGGCTCAGCGGCCCGTAGTTCTTGTGGAACAGCCCGTTGGTGATGATGATGACGTTCTCCCCGTAGTTGGCCGGCTCCACCTTGCTCCACTTGACGCGGTAGTTGCGAGGCAGGGCGCGCAGCACGCAGGGCAGGGTGGCCGTGGCACCGCGCTGCGTGTGCACCGTGGGGTGCAGGGGCTCCAGCAGGTACTGCAGGTGCAGGGGGGCTGCAGCCCCCCGGGCAGCCTCAGCACCATCGCTCAGACACCCCCCGAGCAGCCCCAACCCTCACCAGCATCTGATGGTTTCTATCATCCATCCTGGCTCCTCCTCATCTCTCCTGCACCTTCAGGAGGCACAGCTCAGCTCCTGTCCTGGCTGGACCCGCCCTGCATCACCTCCCCTCTCCAGCACTGGCTCCAAACAGCAGTGCCCCATCCTCCCTGCAGGCCATGCTCCTTATGGGGGGTCTATCCTGCCCCCCAGGCCCTGCTCCTTATGGGGGCTCCATCCTGCCCCCCATACCCTGTTCCTTGTAGGACCTCCATCCTGCCCCCCAGTCCCTGCTCTCTATGGGGGCTCCATCCTGACCCCCAGACCCTGCTCCCTACAGGGATTCCATCCTGCCCCCCAGATCCTGCTCCCTACAAGGGCTCCATCCTGCCCCCTAGACCCTGCTCCTTGTAGGATCTCCATCCTGCCCCCCAAACCCTGCTCCCTATGGGGGCTCCATCCTGCCCCCCAGACCCTGCTCCTTGTAGGACCTCCATCCTGCCCCCAGACCCTGCTCCCTTTGGGGCTCCATCCTGCCCCCCTGTCCCTGCTTCACATGGAGGCTCCACATCTTCCCCTCCAGACCCTGCTCCCTATGGGGCTCCATCCTGTCCCCCAGAACCTGCTCCCTACAGGAACTCCACATCCTGCCCCCCAGGCCCTGCTTCTTACAGGGTCTCCATCCTGTCCCCAAGGCTCTGCTCCCTAGGGGAGCTCCATCTTGCTCCCCAGAACCTACTCCCTACAGGAGCTCCACATCTTCCCCTCCAGGCCCTGCTCCTTACAGGGTCTCCATCCCAACCCCCAGGCCCAGCTCCCTACAGGGGGTCCACATCCTGCCCCCCAGACCCTGCTCCCTAGAGTGACTCCATCCTGCCCCCCAGGCCCTGCTCCCTATGGGGGCTCCACATCCTGCCCCTCTGTCCCTGCTCCCTATGGGGGCTCCATCCTGCCCCCCAGACCCTGCTCCCTAGAGTGACTCCATCCTGCCCCCCTGTCCCTGCTCCCTACCTGGGGTCCCCGTTGGCCGCTGGAAGATGCTGGACACCGGGGGTGCTGCCAGGAGCCAGAGGCAGCCGAGCAGGAGCAGCCTGTGCATCCTCAGAGCCGGGGGCAGGACGGAACCTGGGGGAGCACAGGGGTCAGGGACACGCAGGGGGACACACCCCGGCTTTGGGGGGCCTGGAGGGTGCAGCCCTGCCCTGGGGGTCTCTCTGACATTTGCTGTGCAGAGTGACACGGCTTGCAGGACACCGACCCCACAGCCTGTGCCAACCCCCCTTGCTGGCATGCCCCTGGTCTCTTACCATCCCCAGACACGTCCCTCGGGGAGCCGCCGTGCCCACCCAACGCCCCCTGCCCACCTGCAGCTCCTGCTGCTGCCCTCCTCCGTCATGAACACCCCATGGTGGGGCCAAGGCTCCCGCGGAGGCCGGACCTGCGCCACGAGGAAGAGGTGACACGGGGACAGGGGACACGGCGAGCAGGTGCTGCCAGCCAGCCCTGCGCTGTCACCGTGCTGGGGCGGGCACTGCCCTGGCAGCCCCGTGGCCCCACGGGCCCTTGGTGCCCGCTCCCATGGTGCCGGCCGTGCCCTCGCTCCCTGCCCTGTCACCGGCTCTTCCTGCTTTCTTCTCTCTTTTTTTTTTTCTTTCCCCCCCTCCAACACCTCCCCGAGGAGCGCACAGGCAGGAGGAAGCACAATTTCCCATTGTGAGCGCCTTTCTCTTCATTGTTCTGCTCGGCAAAACACAGTGTGCCCGGGTAACAAACATCCCTTTATCTGCAGGCCACAGCTTTGGGAATTCAGGGAAAACGACAGTTCTGCATCGGGCTCCAGCAGCCTCTTGGGCAGGCAAAGCCCCCCCTGTGCTGGGACGGGGCTCTCTGAGCCCACAGACAGCAGGGCAATGGTTGATTTTATTCCCCTCTCCGTGTCCCTGATGGAGGGATGATGTTCCCACCCCTTGGAGCTCTGGAGGGTTGTGCAAGGGGGCTGCCCCACTGCTGGAGTCCCTCTGGATTTACCCTGCCCTCCAAAAAGGCAGCAGAGAGGCTTCCCCATCCTCCCCTCGGGCCAGGAGCGCAGCACAGACACACACAATGGTGCTGTGTTCTGGGCTGCCACAACTTCTGCCTCCCCCAGGGTGCATCTCCAAGGGTGGAGGGAGCTCTTCTCAAAGGAAGCACGAGACAAGCAGTGACTGTCCCCAACACCGCCCTGGCCTCGCCACGGCACGCAGAGCACAGCAAACATCTCCCTCTGGGAGAAAGGCACCTGGGTGCCCTCGTCCCCCACCTGCTCCCTGTGGAAACCCAGGGCACTGGGAAGATTTCTCTGTCTGCCCTGGGGTGCCCTGACCCCCACGGGAGCACTGAATTTCACCCTCACCCATGGACAAAGTTTCCTTGACTTCAAGATAGACCAGAATCCACAAAAGTGTGAAATGGATTACAGAGAGTGGTGTAGGTGGATCACTTGGTGAGAAATTCAGGGTTTGGGATTTTTAGTATGTTGTGGATGGGAGCAAGATGGAGAGCACAGGGTGTTGGCCTGGGTTTCTTCTTCCTTCTTCTTCCTTCTTCTTCCTGGGTTTGGGTGGCATTTTGTAATTGGGCAGAGAAAAGTCTGCACTGGGGCTCTGTGGGATCAGTTATTGGGTTAAAAGGGGAAATAATCTTGGTGTCATTTCTTAATTTGGATAGTTTAGTCTTAAAAGACCTTGGAGCAAGAGATTGTGAGTCATTTTGTGCCTTCTAATGAAAAGCTGCCAAACTCACAGTAGTGAGACTATTTCACCGATAAGAAATAATAAACACTTGAGTCCAAACATGAATTACTGACAAAAGTGCCCAATCCAGACCCAGAGAAACCCACACCTGGCACCCCCACATCTCCCCACTGCTCTCTTTTCAAGGAGGGACATCAATTTTCAGGGCAGCAGGCTGCACTGGAAGCCTTCTTCCAGCCCACAGTGCTCAGAGCTTTGGCTCATTGCCGTGAGCAGAAGGTGCCTGTACCTTTGTGTCACTGTGGTATTTTATGAAAATCCTTTTGCTGGGATTTTCTCCTGAGAAGCCTCAGAAAAGAAATGTAAACAATAACTGTCTGATGGCTGTGGAGATGGTTTACCAACTGGTGCATCTTTGATTGATCCATGTGAGTTGTTTTTACTTGATGACCAGTCATGGTCCAGCTGTGTCGAGACCCTGAGCAGTCAGTTTTTATTATTCATTCCTTTCCTAGCTTTCTGATATATTCCTTTCTCTCTATAGTTTCGTATAGTTTTAGTATAGCTATAATATAATATAATATAATAATATAATATAATATAATATAATATAATATAATATAATATAATATAATATAATAGCCTCCTAAGAAATACGGAGTCAGATTCATCTCTTCTCTCATCCTGGGACCCACAAACACATCAGCAGCTTTGCTCTCCCCGGGCTGAGGGAGGCTAAAGTGGAGCAGCAGCACTGCAGGCTCCTCCCTGCAGCTCCCCACAGTTATCAGGAGGGTCTGAGGCTCCTCAGGGATCCCGTCATCTCCCTCCCTCACACTTCCTGTGCCCACGGCTGCAGAAGCACATCCTGTTCTCTCCCAGCAGCAGCTCGGGGCTTCTTGGCTGCAGGATGCTGATTCCCAGCTCTGTGCTATCACAAACGAGCTGTTTCTCACATTTTTCCCAAGTGAAGGCACCAGCTACACTCAGAAAACCACAGCCCGAAGCAGAACACTTGCAAGGGCTCCCAAAAGTGACTCACCCCCTTCCCCACGCCGTTAGCAGCAGGGCGTGACCCCAGCCCACCACTGCTTCTCTGAGGTCAGAGCTTGGCCCAGCGCTGTGGGAAAGAGCCTGGGTGACTCACTTCCCAAACACACACTGCGTTACTTCTCTGCTCCCTGTCTCTTCTTCTCCCTTTTTGGGATCTGCAAACACCTCCTTCCCCGTGCTGTTAGCAGCAGGGCGTGACCCCAGCCCACCACTGCTTCTCTGAGGTCAGAGCTTGGCCCAGCGCTGTGGGAAAGAGCCTGGGTGACTCACTTCCCAAACACACACTGCGTTACTTCTCTGCTCCCTGTCTCTTCTTCTCCCTTTTTGGGATCTGCAAACACCTCTGCAGAAGCAGAGGCACCACAGAAAAGCCAAGGAGCCCCTTGTGCTCAGCTCCTGGCGTGGGCTCTGTCAGCACCCTCTGACTCTGCTCCCTGCTCCTGTTCTTCAGAGCTCAGATTCTCCTTCTCCCCTCTCGACCCCGCAGGAAACCTCACCCCCAGAGCCCCCTGAGCACTCGTTTTTCCTTCTGAGCAGGGAATTTGAGCCTAGCTTTGCTGAGCCAGCAAAAGTGACTCACCCGCCTTCCCCGTGCTGTTAGCAGCAGGGCGTGACCCCAGCCCACCACTGCTTCTCTGAGGTCAGAGCTTGGCCCAGCGCTGTGGGAAAGAGCCTGGGTGACTCACTTCCCAAACACACACTGCGTTACTTCTCTGCTCCCTGTCTCTTCTTCTCCCTTTTTGGGATCTGCACCCACTCCGCAAACAGAAGCAGAGGCACCACAGAAAAGCCAAGGAGCCCCTTGTGCTCAGCTCCTGGCGTGGGCTCTGTCAGCACCCTCTGACTCTGCTCCCTGCTCCTGTTCTTCAGAGCTCAGATTCTCCTTCTCCCCTCTCGACCCCGCAGGAAACCTCACCCCCAGAGCCCCCTGAGCACTCGTTTTTCCTTCTGAGCAGGGAATTTGAGCCTAGCTTTGCTGAGCCAGCACCTCCACACCTCAGCCCCGCAGCCTTGAGCATCACCCCCCTGACCCAGTCCCCAAAACCACCGCGTTTCTGCGATGCAGAGGCAGAAACCTCGTTCATCCCCTCCCCCCGCATTTCCTGCCCACCCCAAATCCGGCCCCTCACGTCAGCACAGAGGGACACTGACCCCACACCCTTCCCAGCACGGCCCCTGGATGTGGCGAGGCCGGCTGAGCGGAGGTGTGCCAGGGCATCCCCGCCCGAGCTGCCGTGCTGGCAGCGCTGTCCCGCTCCCGGCACTCCCTTCGAGGTGAGGAGACACCTGGCAGGCGGAGTTTGCAGCCCCGGCGTGGCTCTGCCCATGCACCCCCTTTGCCGGGGCTCACCTGCCCCCCGGCATGGCTGAGCACGCCTCCAGGCTCCGGCTCTCGGGGCTGTGCTTCCTCCTGCAAGTCGTCATCATCCTCCTCTTCGCCGTGCTGGTGCGGTACAGCCCCGAGGGCAGCCCCGGGTGCGCCCCGCAGCTGAACTGCAGCCGCAGGAGCCAGGACCCGGCTTTGCAGCAGCCCCGTGAGTACCCCCGTGGCCGTGGGTGCACGGAGCCCCTCTGCCGAGGGGATGGCACCGGGTGGCACCGTCCGGACCTGTCACCGGCTCCGGAGTTAGCGGAGTTAACTCCAGAGTTAACATCGAGCGGCAGGGTTGGGGTGCTGGTGATGCCCAGAGCGGGTAAAGCAGGCATGCTGCAAGGATTTCTGAAATGCTTGGGCAGAGCCAGCCCCAAAAGAGGGAAATTTGGGTCTGGGATGTGTGTTAGAGCAGTGGAGCTCAGGAGGGATCGCTGAGTGCAGTGAAAATCTGGGAATCATCATCCCATGGCAGGAGCACAGCAGCTGCTCCTGGCACTTCGGGGTCTGCTGAGCTTCCCACTGACCAGCTGGGGTTTCAGGGCTGGGGGATTCACTGAGCCCCTTCAAGGAGGAGTGGAGATCAGGAGGGATCACTGAGTGCAGTGAAAATCTGGAGATCATCATCCCATGCCTGGTAGGGAGCACAGCAGCTGCTCCTGGCACTTCGGGGTCTGCTGAGCTTCCCATTTCAGGGTTGGGGGATTCACACCGAGCCCCTTCCACGGAGAATTTGGCTCCCTGGGTGCTACCACAGGGTCCAACGGGGTCTGCAGCATCCTGCTGCGTGCTGGGCATCACTGCAGAGCTCCTGCCGGGGTAGGGGGCTGCCCCTCGCTTTTCTGAGCCGCAGACAGCCTGGTCGGTGGGACGGGAGCTTCAGAGGGCCCCGGCAGAGAGGGGGGGGCGAGCGGAGCCGCTGGGCAGGGAGCTGGCAGCTGGCAGCCGGCAGGTTTGCCCGGTTTCTCCTGCCCACGTAACCCCACCCAGGCAGTGACTCACGGAGGAGGCCGGCCCGCAGCTGTCAGCCGGAGGGGTGCAAAGGGCACCCAGCCCAAACAAGAACCAAGCCCCCCCATCCTCTGGTTTGCTGCCAAACGGCACCAGACCGATCCCAAACTCTCTGCTCATCCTTCCTCTCTCGTCCTGTGAATTGCAATGCCTTGGGATGATTGGAATGATGCCTTCAGGGGCAGCACGAGGTCCCAGGGGTGCTGACATCTCAGGGGTCTGGTGGGTGCAGACAGCTCTCGGGCATGCCAGGAGCTTTCCATGCTGTGGGGTGAATGTCCTGAGATCTCTGCACAGGAGCTGCTGCACAGGGTCCCAGCAGGCAGGGGTGGCTGCAGCTGTCCCACTGCAGATCTCCAAGGAAGATCTTCCACCCAGACTCACATGAGTGGAGCCAGCCTTCAGCTCCCCAAATCCTGTTAGAGCAGGGCTGTCCCAG